GGAATCGTACCGGTATACGGGATCCGCAAGCCAGAAGGATAGACTGTGAATATATTTGAAGTTTTACTATCTTTGTTTAGAATACGGCTAACACATACAGAGTGGACACTGGGTGATTGCAAAAGTTCACTTTCCGTTTAGCGGATTCAGAAACATACACGCATAAAATGGCTCAATTTTGAAGCCTGGTAAAACACGGAGCTCAGCCATCTTCCACCTGCCAGTGCATCATTGCCCGAGTTCTGGGAAAGCTGGTGCAGCAAGCAGCGCAGTTGTGCCTTCTGTGGCAGCCACATTGGCATTTGATTTTGTTGTTGACTGGCGAAGCCAGCGCGAGCTGGCACTTGGAGAGCAATTTTTGTACATGCTGTAAGAATCTTGATCAAGCTGCTCCATCTTAGCCCTTGGTAAGAGACATTAGCCATTACTTCGATAGCTGATCAGAGCTTAGATCATGTTAAGCAGGACAACGCAAGTTGACGACAATTCCTTGCCTTCGCCAACCGGCTTGCTTAGTTTAGCGACCACTCATCCAGCTTGGAGCAAAATGAGATGATGCTGTAGCGTCAAAGACTTGATCGAGCGGATCAGGCAGGGCGTGGAGCGCGCGTGTAGCTTGACAGCTTGGGCTTGGATGGAGGGCAGCCAGCAGCTTGAGGTTGATGAGAATGCCGTCAATGATGTTGACTCCAGCTTTCTGATAGCCTTGGAGGTAAGCATTGTAGTGCACGACGGAATGCGCTCGCCCAGGCCCCCATGGCACCTCAATCTTGAGTGGGCCGGGGTCGTTGATAGTTTCCAAGTTCAAATTGGTGCAGATAATCCTAGAAAGAGAAGCAATGTACTGAAGTACCCATTCAGCTGTGATGTGCTGGTGGAATTGACTGGCTCGCCTTCACCTGAAAAATTCTGTTGTCCTGAATAAGCTTTCTTCACTATACCCTCTTCAACGACTTGCTTGCTGATCTAGGAACTTCGCAACCTGCGCCCACAGCTACTGACAGCTGCGGAGTACTGCGAGCAGCAGTACTTGACCAGCGAGCAGAAGGACTCGTAAGTGCTGCGAATCCCCCTCCTTTGAACCACAAACGACAATCTGCATGTGGAGCCCTCCCCTCCCGTCAATGTCACTTGAAGTGCTCTTTCAGCGCCACTTTTAATTAGAAGTTCATTTAGTACACTCATGAATGTGAATGCGTGCATTGCCAATCGACGGTCATCACAGGATGACTCCTTCAGTTGCTGGCCACAGCGGTTCTGATTCCGTCATCCTGCACTTCCTTTACTTCTCAGAATGAAAAGTTCGTTGGCGATGTATAGTCACATCCTCGTGACTCCGGTGTCGATGTGTCAATAGAAGATTGTTCATTGAGAACTGATCTGCATATGCGTTTCAAACCGCTTTTGTCTCGCACCAAGAAACGTCCTGTCCTTGGTGCCTATTGCAGTGTCACTGGCAACTTACGGGACTACGCTGTGAAGGCGCTCGTCAACATGGTTGACCATCTTGGCACAGTGTCATACAAGCTCAACCTCTGCATAGACCAAGAGACGAGCAGGGCAGAAACTCTTGACGTCCAGTTGATGACGCTTCAGCAGGTCCGCTGTACTCTATTGGAGTGACCCCCTCGTTGCTCTCCTTCCCGCTACTGCCCTGTACTCCAGTAGTTCCTACACACAAGGGATGTTTGAAAGGAAGAGCTCAGTGTCTACCAAAAAAAAATCCAATCTCATGACGCAAACATGTAAGTCGCCCTAGGAACTTAGTTCTGGCTTGAGGATGTTCTTTGGGGTATTACTGTGCTACTGCTGTAGTCAATCGCTTGCCAAAAAACCTCGGTTTCCCCCAGCCTCCGTTGCTCCCCCTCTGAGCGGCATCCATACCAATTGCCTCCAAGAATGCGATCCTCGATTTTTGAAGGGGGTTCATAGAATTGGAGAAAGCGTGCAGCTCGTAGAGCTGACATGCACGTGAGAGAGAGGGTATATCTTACGAAAAACGCTCCTAATAGGAGATGGAGGCTCAGACATACTTGAGCCTTTCCACTTGCAGCGCATTGCCTCCATGCGCACATATATGGAGCAGGATGCTGCGAAGCAGCAGCAACAGCCTAAAGCTGCCCAAAGAATGGTCAAACAATACCGGGTGCCGGGTGAGAAACCTGACAATGCCGGTTCTTTCCACCGGGCGTCTAGAGGGAGTATGACAGGGCAGAGTATCATGTGTTGTTGACTCTCTACAGATTTTCTATTTGTTGACCTTCGCAAAAAAATTCAAAGGCCTCCTGCCCTTTACAGTCTTAATTTGTGGGCTTTAAAAAGTTGTTCTCTTGCAACATTCATGTTTTAGTCTTCTCTGATGAGTTGCCAAGAGGCCACCGATAAGGGAGTCGGCAAGAGTAGAGAGTCAATTCATAGATGTCCTCTGTCTGCATTTGCGGTATTCAGCAGGTACTAGAAGACGGCCAGCAGTTCGATCCAACCTTTCATGAAAGCTAGCTTTGCTGCAGATGCGACGGCCGAGGCAGCCTTTGCAACGGCCCAGTTCCTGGTCGAGATGCCCCGGGAACGCTTCGAGTTCGAGGAGAGAAACACGTCGGAGTCTTTCTATTCGCCGCAACCGGTGATGCCGGCCCGCCGCTCCACATTCGGCCGGCGCAGGTCGGAGCCATTACCTGCATCTAGAGAGCCCCTCAGGTTCGTTCTCTGATCCTCGAGTGCCTTTACTTGCGAGGAAGTCGACCTTTCTGGTGGTATCGACTTCCCTTTTGAAACTTGCTAAGTCAATCAACAAGAGAATCTCAATGAGGGCAGGTTTTACCCCGGACTGCGTTTGGCGTACTTGAACACGTATAATCATTCTGTTTGTAGTACGAACGCGATCTGTTGGATGCATCTCATTGGCTCTTGGTCCAAGCTGACGCCGTTGTCATCTGGTCCTGCCTCTCTGAGCGGTCCTCTCATCAAAGCGTTCTCAATTTGCTGCAGGCGTGCTTCATCTGTGTCGTACCAAGGTAAGAGCCAATCATTCAAGCTACCGTAGCGCCAAGGGAATTCTCCTAAAAGTAAATAATTTGGGGTCGGTGTGAAAATTTTGAAACTATTTGAAATGCGAGGTTGAGATGACGGAATGAAAAATGTTGGTAAAAGTATTGTCATACTGCTGAAGTATAGGGGAAACTGGGCCCAAAAAACCAAATTCGCCTTTTGTGCTATGTGTTGGAAAATATCTATTCCGCTGGGTGACACCTAAAATCTTTCGAAATTAATTATTCGCATAATTAGTTTCGGTGGTGAATTCCCTTGGCGCTACGGTAGTAAACGAGTAACCTTGTCGAGAGGTCGGTTATAGGCTCCTTCCGTCGCGGTCTGCAAGCTCGCAACCTTTGAATGGAAGGAAGAAAATTATCGAAGCTAAGACTGCAAAGGGGCCAGTGGCGCTCACTGACTTCAGCCGTGCCCATTTTCGCCACGCGTGATCTGGGCTCACGTCAGCCTCGAAGGTCCAACCTTCCCGTTTCAGTGACCTTTTCGTCACCCCATGGCGAAAGGGCGTTTCTGGAAGTAGTTGGGGTGCATGTTTTCTCCTCGCTATCGCGTCAGATCCTTCCAAACGCATTCTGCTTCTAATGTGCCTTTCTAGCTTCAAAATGCAGTCAGTAAAGTCTCTTTCCTTGGCAGCCGCAGACGCCCCCGGTTCGCCCTCCTCGACTTCCACAATCGGGGGCGACTCCACGACTAGGTCGACGGGAGGATCCCGTGCCAGGGGCAGTCACCTGGACCGTTCAGATTCTGGCCCGGTAAGCCTTGCAAGATGCCCGAGTAGAGGTGGATTCTTAACCTTCGCCAAGCAAAAGCTTTCGCACAGTCAAAGCATTTCGGGGTGGGCTTCTAGATACCTCCGAGCTGCGAGTGCGCTGGGGAGTTTGATCATCATTCGCATCCCGTTTGCTCCGAGCCTCATTGGGTCCTTAAGATCACTACAGGAAAGGATCGAACAGTGTGCCTGACCCGGACCTAGGGTGTCAACCCAAGCCCATTTGTTCCTGCATGCGCTGCAGGTCCTACGACAACATGTTGGTGAAGGCTTCGTTGATGTAGAATCCGTAGACCTAAGTGTATCTGGAACGCAGACTAACAGGAGCACCTCCAAGCTTCGAAGAATGTTTAGCAGGGTTCTATCAAGGAAAGAGTCAGAACAGATTAGGTAATTGTTCCTTGAATCTAGGCCAACACTTCGTGTGGTTTTTGGCGGCCAATCAATCGAGTGTTGCAGTTTTAACGGGTGTCGGTATATGTCTTAGCAGGGAGGCTTGCGACTTTTAGGTTCTAACAACCAGTGCCCATGACTTCTCCTTGGTTCACCAACCCTTGTATAGTAAGTCACGAGCTGGACTGAATAATCAGAGGATATTGAAAGCGAAAAGGAAGTCAATTTGTAAATGGTGAATAATAGTTGCTCGACCCAAAATCTGCGAGCAACGCACACACTTTCGAACTTGTACCTTCAACTTCGACGTTCGACTGAGCACATGCAATGATACGCGCCACGACTGAAACCTGGTGTATGAAAGTATGTCGATCATGCGGCAAGTAACAGTGCCTGAGTGAATACCGGGTCATGGGGATATGTCATTACGGTCACTATGCCTTTGCGAGATTTGTCGATGATTACGGATCCTTGCCTCATAATGATCTCAAAAATCAACGTACGCGCATATAGCTACAATGTAACGGATTCTGCAATGAGCTTGGTCTTAGATTTGCAACTCATACAAAAAAAACGACGACTAATTCCTAGCGAAGACTCTAGCTAAGAATATATATGAAGCTCAGTAGGTGGTCCACGGATTCTAGATTTTGAATGAGTCCGCTCTGCATTTGCCGCCTACTAAATCCAGAATTTTACTACGGTATGTAGGTAGTAGGTAATATATACGTATCTGATCGGTTCATTTCATGCATGCTCTAGGAATGCTCTAGTGCGCAGAGTCTGCTGTGCCAAGTAGGGTACCTACTACAGAGCCAGGTTAATGAAATTCGGTATACCGGTAGGTACTTACTACTGTACCTACTACTGTAGCTAGGTACTGAGACCGTACATTAGCCTACACACCTATCTGATATCATGATTAGATCGGCAGGCACATTCTACTTGACCGTCCGATGCGAAAGCAAGCGTTTCATCGGCGGTTTGCAATGAATTCTTTCAGTGGCCACGGCCCACCGTACAGGCTACCGTACAGCTTGTGCGAGCGGGGGGCAAATTTTTTGAGCCATCAACTGTGACTCACCAAATGTCAGTTTCAACCTGTCAGGAGCATCTACGGTGTGGATGGTGGCTTGATAAACCACGTGCATATGGACGGTTTGACTCTAATACTACGCCAACTTGCGTCATCCAACCAGCTCATCGTAGCCGTCGATTTCTATCCGAACAAGTTGGAGCTCCGAAAAGGCAAAAGTGAGGTAAAAGTGACCAGATGATGATGTCCTCTTTCATCCTCTTGTTTTGAAGCATGCGAGTTGGCAGCTTGTTGATCAGATGTCGCCATGGTGAAACTGTCCACCCCGATCAGACCCGTGTCACCGTTCATTTGAACACATACCTTGCATCGGACGGCTCAATCCCTACAAAAACATTAAGCAGTGCATGAGGTAGGAAAAACTCAGCTTTGTATACTGCACGCTAGCTGCTTGCAGGCTTGTTGAATTCTCCTGTGCCAAAGTTGAAGCCATGACCTTGCAGCTGGCAAGGCCGACGAGTCACGACTGTTTGAACGGTGCCAGGGAATGCCTGGGGGAAAGGGACGGCATGGAGTTGTACAAGAGGGTTCACCTGGCACTGTAAGCTGGCAACTGCCTCATACTCGAGGAGGGACGGATGCGAGCTCGGGCCAAGGAGCTGCAGATTTAGACTTGTGATCTCGATCGATCTGAAATCGCATCGACGTCTCGTGTATTTTTGCAGTGGATATCGGGTGAGTTGTGGGCAACTGCAGGAACATTTGCAGAGGTGGTTTTGCACACAAGTCGGCGATGAATGCTGATTAAAGTCCGGTAGTGACGTTTCAGTAGCATTCGACAGTTTCCGTATGGACACTCTACCGCAAGGGATCTAGTCCCTGGGACAGCAGGGGCTAGATCAAACCCTCTCCAATGGCTTTTCATGAGACCTCCTCCTATGCTCTCAGCCAACTTTCACCTGAATCTGGGCCGCGCGCGAGCTTTGAGCACGCTAGTGTTGAGCAAGCATGTGCAAGCACGCAAGCCTCCTCGGTGTGTCATCCATGTGGGATGGAGGTGGTAAGATCTGTGCCAGTGTACAGCCGCCATGTGTTCCTGGCATTTAAGCAGCCCCGGGAATGGCCGAGTGGCAAATTGGGGTCGGTAGAAGCAGAGCGACTCCCTAGGCTGTTAGCTGCAACTATCAAGGAGGCCGCACACCGGTTGGGGGGCCGTGTGCAGTTGACAGTTTGTGAGGCGGATGACGAGTCAGATGGAGACGCCCTCGTTTTTCCTGACATGAAGAGATACAAGTGAGTTCGCTGTGGGGTTTATGCAGCTTTAGGTCGTTGCTTTTGCAGAGTGGTCAAACTTAAGGCCTTTTCGGATCGTTTGCTTATTACCAGCTGCAAGGCGTGCAGAAGACAGTACTGTTAACAACTTCTTGATTTTGTCGGTTTCCTTGAGACTATGCTTTTGCAATTTGCAAGAAAGTATGCTAAATCCGTCTGCTTGGATCTGCAACAAATTCTGCGCATGCTGGTGTCTTTTAGAAGGTGGACTTGCGATCTCGTTATGCATTCTGCATCTGTCCTTGAATTTTCCTGCCGCATCCTCTTTGTGGTTATAGCTATCTGCGACTGCGCTCCCTTGGTCCCTGTTTAGGGACTGCCCCCAGCCTTGATGGGGGCTGCTTGTTTGTCGGCAGCCCCCATCAAACGCCACAGCCATCCAATCAATTCTAGCGCAGAAACCAGCTGCATTAAGGCAAGTAGCAAGCTTGATTGGCAATGGAGAACTCTACTCAAAACTACTGCACCTGAACCAAACTGCTCTCCTGCAGAGCCCTCACTGTGCACGACCTGGCGCTGTTAGTGGACGAGGTGCTGGTCTCAGGACGGGAGCGCTTCCTCTCCAGCGAACCCCTTCCTGGAGTGCAGCTCTTCGTCTGCTGTGACCCTAGCCGGGGGGGCAGATGTGCTCAAGTGGGGACCCCCCTGCTTGCTGCTCTGCGTGCCGGCGTGCAGAGCCGGGGCTGGACCGAACAGGTAGCGGTGAGGGCATGCAGTCATGCGGGATGCAAAGGCGATGCGGCGCGGGTGCTCGTCTTCTCCAGCCGGGGGGACTGCTCGGTTGGCCACTGGTGAGCTGGCTGCACTACTACGTCTGGGTCTGGTTCAACTCCAGTTCTTAGCGGCTTTTACTTTTATTCTGTGAAGCTGTGAGGATCAGAGGGTGCAGGAATTTTCAGGAGGTATTTTATTCATGCAATACCGCATCAGCAGTCAAAAAGAGCCTGCTTGATGTCATCTGCGCAGCAGCAGTCAAAGACAGAAGTTTTCTCTGTCGCATACGCTCATTCTGTGTCCTGCGTCGAAATTTGGTCGCGGCTGCTAAGTCAGCTCAAATTCTACCTGGCGCCATGCGGCTAGGCAAGGGGTTGCTAGATCGAAAGCCTGGATGGGTCCCTATCTGCTCTTTAGTTCTGCTGCTAAGAGCTCAACATCAGTGCATCTTTCTTTCCAGGTACGGTGGAGTGGGCCTCGCAGACGTGGCGGCCCTCCTAGACGAACACATCGGCGCAGGTCGCATAGTTGAGCACATATGGCGCGGTCAGATGGCCCCCCCTCAGGGCCAACCCCGCCCGCAGCCCGCTCCTTTCCCGGGCGCTTCCCCGCCACCGCAGCTCACGAGCGCTGCAGGGTTTGGCATGCAGAAAGAGGCAGAGGTGCTGTCTGGGGGCCAGGGGCAGCAGCGAGCGGCCTCCCCCGGGGGGAGCGATGGAGAGGTCGATGAGAGCGTGCTGGGGTACAGCATGACTGCATCTGAGAGCAGTGAGGAGGGGCTTTTCTCTCCACAGGGGGGGGCCGATGCCAGCGCTGGAAAGCAGGGGGGGCGGTCTGTGGGTGCCTCGTTTGGGAGCGGGCGGTTCTCCGTAGAGAGCACGGGGGGCGCAACGTTGATGGAGCTAGCACGCAGTGAGAGCAAAGGCGGGGACATTAGCGAGGAGACGCGCGGCGTGCTTGGTTCTTTGCCGGATGTACATATTGAGGGTGAGGGCGGGATAACGGGGATGCTAAATAGCCAGGAGGGGCAGCTATCTGAGTGCAAGCCGTCAAAAGAGGAGTCAAGGAACCAGGCAGGTTCGGTGAGAGGCTTGAATGACGGCCTGAGCAAGTCAAACGAGGCGGTGTGGTTTTCGTTTTATCCTTCTGGGGGATTCCGCTTTGATGCGAAGGTACAGTTCGGCGTGAGTTTGGCAGCCATAGCGGCCACAGTGGGCTTCCAGCTTGCTAGGCAGCACTAATATGCACAGGCTAGCATATGCAGAGGCGTAGATGCAGAAGCACATTTGCGTGCGACGGCGTCGAGATCGGTTGTAGATGCATGCGAGGGCTCCCATGCGGGGGTATGCTTTGTCACGAGGCACATGCATGAGGGCTGTTGGGCAGCTACGGAAGGCTTGTAAATAATTTGAGTCTCGATCGAGATGTTAGTATCTTAGAATGTCGCAACACTATTGAGTGATCGCCTAGGAGTTTTGTAGGTTGGTCGTGTTTTGCCGATAGACGGACAGTGTGTATGGTTCCCTTGCTGATCCTGGCTAGGCCCATAAAGCGGACATATAAAATGCCTAATGAGCAGTAACGAATCACCATTTATGAGGACATGGCTCAAGTTTTCGTACAGGATAAGGTAAATTTGGATTTTTGATGCGCAGAGATATATAGAGTAGGGTATTTAAGGAAGCACTCGGTCAGATACAGAGTTCTGTGTCAAAGCGTTAGGCAAGTGTAGCTTACAAGGACCACTCTTTTCCAACGCCCAACTTCTGATTTGTTAAGTTGGACTGTTGTTGCCAGTTGGCCCGCGTGGATGATTTTGCATGACATATAAGTCGGTAGGGCGAACAATGAATGTGCCATATCTTAAACCTCGTGCCAATTCAAATTTCAACGACGATCCGGTCCTTGCAAAAGTGAGTATATAGTACGCCCGGCCGGCCCACTGAGCCATCATGTCAGTGTGCGCATGCAGCACACTGACGCGCTCGAACCTGGAATCAAAATTTCAGTCCTGTCGTGAATCGGCCATGTCGATTGAACATGGTTAGGAACATGCATAATAGCTAGATACGCCGCCCGCGCGCGCGCGCTGGCAGGCTGGTGCATTGCTCAGCTAGTGCGGGACGTGATCAAACGCATATGTAGCGCGCATATGAGCATGATTGTCATTTCTAGCTAGCAATTTCATATTGCCGCGGCGGCGCGAGGCCGTGATTGAGTCGAGGCTAGCTTCTTGATCGCAAGATTATAACATGCTAGTACCGGCAGCGCGCGCGCCGCCGCCGGTAGCTAGCCTGTGCGCATGCATGCAAGCATGGCCATGGATCATTCGCTCCCCTGGGCCCCGGCATGGCTATGCCGCCGCTTGTACGTTGAAGTCATTTCAATTGAATGCCAAATTAAGGAATCATGACCGTCTCGGAACGACGGTGCATGTATGTATGACGGCCGCGGTGTGTGCCTACTAGCTGCATATATGTAACAGCAGCGTGACGTTTGACGGCAAGGATTGAATAGTGATCCCGGACCCCGGGTCTGCTAGATATGCCGACACGAGCAAGCACCTAGCAAATAAACGATATACTGTACGCAATACAAGAAAGCTCGGGATTGCGGGGCGCCAAAGTGACCCGGTGCATGATCTGATCCCGCAGTGAACAGCAGTTGATATCACACGCAAACCGAATGCTGATTGACTGGTAAGTGCTCAATTCTATGTTTGTAAAACAAGGATCGAGTTTGACGAATTGCGCCTCAAACTACTCAACTAGTAGCTGAAGTTCGTGACAGCTTCACCAACATCATTACGGCTGGTTTCTTGGATTATCAATCAAAGGTTTCCGAGCCCGACGGGCAAGCCTTTCGTTGAGCATAGCTTCCAGCTCACTGCCAAACTCAGGGTCCCAACGACTTATTAAAGCTGGGTCCTCGGCAAACATCACGTAAATAGTCGTGACCCCGGCTTCGATAACGGCAGTCACGAGGCCGATCTGCAAAAGGAAGGTGCAGCGCTTAGCAACTTTTTTACGCTGTCCTCAAGTCGAAAGCGCTCTCCCAGGAGGCTTGTGTACCCAAACACTGATCTTCGTCGACGCGGGAGGCGTAAGCGGGATGTCCGCCTCTGGCAATCCAACGGGGCAGAAGACGAGGGCACCCTCCGAATGGGAGCGGAATGGAAACCACAGCTTGAAGACCTCAAGCACGCCGATTCACTGCTGTTCTTCACCTCGATAGGCGGTTTTAGGATTGCCAAAAGAGGTTCATTACATATTTAGCACGTCCCACCGCCGGGCTCAAGGTCGCTCAAGCATGCCTGGCCAACGCTTAGGGCTATTCTGCACCAGCAAAGAAACCTGCTGAACGAAACGCGGTGCCGCTTGTCAACGTAAAATTCTTACGAAACTCTCTTTCTCGTCTCACAATCAAGCAGACTTTGGAGCAAGACGACGTCTCCATGAAGTTTGCTTGATGACACGGATCCGAGGCCAACGTGCGCTGCATCGCATTCTCCATCGACCAGACTCCAGCGCACTTCAAGCACGTACAGAATGCAAAGCACGTCAAGCACGAAGCACGCATGGCAATAGCAAATTCCGATCCCTTTCGAGCCTTTCCCTCACCAGCATCATGCTGAGCAGCGCTCCCGTGACGGCCACGGGGACCGTCCGATCCTCCTGCGTATAGTGCACCCACGTGCCCACAACCGTCCCGGTGATCAGTCCCCCGAGCGCGACGCTCAGCAGTAACACCGCCCCCGACAGGTCCTGCGCCACCAGGGCCTCGACTCCGGTCTGGTGTCAAGGGAAGGAGGAGAACCGTTAGCACTGCGACGGAACCGCGGGGTGAAGAGATCAGACCTGCGCCTGCACTGAGCGTCAGGTTTACGTGCTGACTGCACAATAAGTCACGGAAACGTTGAGTAGTTTTCATGCAAGCAAATAAGTACACGGCGTCGGGTGTCTCTTTCAGCGACGAGACACGGCTCTTCGACTTGCCAAGGAGCAAAAACTTAGTATTATTTTATGTTTTTTGAATTGTTGAAACCCAAAACTTATTGCGGCGAAAGCGGAGGTGACGTAGCAGCGTGTTGTGATTGGTGCAAAGGATGTCAAGCAGGGATCTCCTACTCTTCAAACACGTCGAAGCCATTCCACGATTATGTGAGAGGACGGTTTGAGCGGGTTCTCAAAGGTCGTTAGCTAGAGAATCCGCAGCCAGAGGTGTCAGGGCGTGAGAAAGCGCCGCTCGTTAAGCCGCGAAGCTCAAAGTTGGGTAGACCCAGTGACTCCGGCGCAAGACGTCCTCAAAGAGTGGAGAGAAAATTGATGATCCACCGAGGAGTGCGGGGCTCACCAGCTGGAACCGCTCCCACGCATCTGTCGATGCCCGGTTGAAACCCTTCCCACCAATCGCCATCTGCACGAAAATGAAAGGGCTGTCAAACAAGAGCAGACGGCCAGGTTCTGAAAGAATGAAAAAAGCAACTCGGATGGCACTCGCATCGCCAAAACTATGAGGACGTAGGACGGCATAAATGCTACTGACAGGACAATGTTTGTGTGCGCTACTTTACGCGCTACTTGATAGAAGCCGGTGACTCAGTGGTGCCCAAATGTTTGAGCTTCTGAGGCGATTTCGATAGCCCCAATCCTTCTGGGAAGCTCTGCTAACCAGTCCATTCCGAGCGGAGGCAACCATCAGACTCCACGAGTAGAGCGTTTGACTGTTCAATCAAACGTGCGGAACGCCAAAACGCTGGGCACAATCCCGGACCGTTCTTGTGAATTTTCAGCAACCATACTACCGAGCTCGGCCGCGGAATCTAAGTTGTGCTGACGGACGAAAGCCATGCGCCGTTCTTGTGGTTCTCCAGCAATCGTAGTTCCGAGCGCGGCCGCGAGAAAACGAACGGGCTGACGGACAAGAATCATGCGCGCGCACTCACGTGGACGTACGCGTACTTGTTGAAGATGCGCACGAAGCCTTCCAAGAGGCCCAGGTAGCAGTCCAGGCAGCACAGCATGCACTCGTTGGAGCGCATGCGGCCGCGCAACCCCCGGGCCTGCACGGACGGTCCGGGATTGTGAGTTGGGCGACGAAAGCAAAAGTGATTTACTTGGAAGCTGTTTTACCGGCAAAGCGGGACTCGTTGGAGCGCATCCGGCCACGCAGCCCGCGGGCCTGTACGGACGATTCAACAACTTATCAGCCGGATAAGCTTGTGAAAGGTTCGTTCACCTCAGAACTGATTTCGCCTCTGCAAATACAGCGAATCAGGGTGAAAGCGGAGGGTGACGGTTTATCTCGTACGGTATTACACGTTATCTGTCCGGATTCGGTGGTCTCGGTGCTATGGGCGTTACATCGAAATAAATGGTGTGGGTCTGGTGAAACGTAAAGCATAAATGACGAGGTTCCGCCAAGAGATCGATGAAGGGGAATGAGCGACAAAGAACAGCGTCTAAAAGTCCACAATGAGAAACTCGGGCAACAAGCCATGCTGCATGCCAATGGATGAGCGACCCCAACACAGTTCAGCCAGATCGATTGCTGGGAGAGCCTCGAGAGCTGTTTGCATTGCTAGATCCTCCATTCTTCAATCCAGGCTCTGGTTTGATCCTGAATGCACACCCGAAGACTGCTCCTCTCTGCTAACTCCAATAAGGTAATCTTGAAAAATGTCTCACCAGCCACCGAAGCGTCCTCACGGGCGGGCTCAAGAGCGACCCAAAACAGACGCTTCCAAATGAGCTGGTCAGCGCCACTACCAGGCCCCGCGAGCTGCGGTGTTCCGGCGGCTGGCCCTCCCCCCCTGCCAGGAACCACTGCGCAAACGCGCAGGCTGCTGCCACGTGGACGACGTTGTGCGCCACGACGGCGGTCCACAGGAGACTCACCGACAGCAAAAACAGCTTGGCCCACTGCGAGGAAGGAAGTGGAAACACATTTGAACGGCCAAGTCTAGATGTAATATTGCCACCTGGTTATAGAAGAAACCAAAACGAACGATGTCCAGATGTTTGTGAAAGTGCCGTCCCGGATGCCTTTTTCAATTGCCTACGTCATTCGCACTTTGCAGGTGACGTCAAGTCCCGATGCCCAAACAAAATCTTCTGCAGGTCCTCATCGAGCGTGTCTAGCTGCTATGTTTGGGATGCGATAAGGGGTGCGACCTTCTCAAGCGGTGAACGAAAGACTTGTTACCAGTCGGATATTTTGAGCAGAACGCACGACAGAATCCTGCTCAAAGTACGCATGGTCATAGTCCACGCCAGCCCAGCATCGACAAATACATGACCTGTAGCTGGCGAAAAGCGTGTTGTTACGAACTTCAACAGTCAAGCAGAGTTCCCTGAGCGACCTCTCATTCCAAGGCCGAACTCGAAATGACAAACCAAAGTTAGCCGCATCAAAGGGAAGCCTGAGCAGCTGCGAAAGCATACGTGGTGAAACGTCACTTGCATCAGCACTTGCACCACATGGGAGACGCGAACAGCGGCCCTCCAAGCTGTGCGCAACTTGCTCATTGAAGTTGAACGTTCAAGTCACGAGAAGGCGACATTGACGTACCCGGTGTTTCTCGGACGAAAGTGCGATGGTCCCTGCGGCACCGAACGTCCAAAGCGCCAGCCACGCCAGCGAAACGACGCCGACTAGGAACGCGACGTATAGTGTGGACGGGAAATCGCCCACCAGGTCCACCGCTTTTTGGATGACGAGAGCAGTAAAGGGCAGCCTGTCGGTACAGGAGTGCGCAATCTTGGATGTCAGTATCAGGGGGTGATTCGAACAAGAACCTCTTAAGAATCGACTCCGCTAAGCTGATTCCGGGGTCTAGTATCGAGACTCTTGCGAAACATCCTTCGTTCCCGTGCTTGAGCTCAGTAAGTGACTAACCAATTAAAGGCCAGCGAAGATCTGAAAGGTCTAACGTTCTCGGTTCGACCAGTGACATATCCGGGGCACCCATGCTCCACATTGCTCCTGCGTAAGACCGCAATACGCCGGTTCAAGTAGTCGGCCTGAGTTGCAAAAGTGTATCGCAAAAATGGTTAGACACAGGCCAAGCCTTCTTACCACCAGCTTCCCTACTGTCCAATTTCGACAGGAGCAAACTCACACCAGGCTGGATGTTTCACAGGGAAGGAGGGCATCCAAACTATTCGGTCTTGCAACATAGCCATACCGAAAAAGTACCTCGCCCGCTTCTGTATCATCAATACCCCTCACCTGTCTGTGACCGTAAAGGAGAAGACAAAAGCGACCGCCGCCCCCGCCGCAAACCCGATTCCCCACAGGGGGCTGTGGTTCCAAAAGAGGAGTACGCTGAGAACAGCCCCAAACGTGCTGACGGAGTGGACTGACATCTTGATCATGTCAGCGGAGCACCGCCGGAAGAGCCACAGCCAGGCCCAGGTCAGCACGATGCCGAGCCCGGCCGCACCTCCGTACTGCAAAGAGCGGATGGTGGGGGTTTCAGAAGTTGATGGGTGCGTTTGGCCGCTCAAGCGTTCTAAACCTGGTAAATTGGGGTAACAGAATATGATGGAACTTAAGGGAAGGACAAAAGTGCCAAGACAATGCAGGAAGTAAGGAGAATCGTCATGGATCAATGTTTAAACCAAGAACATGACCTGTTTCCTGGCAATTTCTTCCAGAATTCAGGTGGCAATGTTGCAAGCTCACAGGGGAACCCCACAAGATGTTGCTGTGAACACTGACCCACTTCCTAGTCGGACAAACCCTGCTGCCATAGAAGTACGTGACAATCCAATTCAGGACTGAAAACCCCTCTAGTAAGCCAGCCTTGAACGGAGAATATGGAGGCCAGAGAACATTGCGGGCTCATAGGTCAAAATGCAGCGTTGCAGGCAGCGCCCAAAGCTAATAGACCCAGTTGTCCTCACCAGCTTCCTCACTGGCTTTCAGGCAGCTTTCTTCCATTGCCTTTCATTGGGGCGCTAACGTTCTTCAGATGTTTCAAACCTCCAGTGCAATCAAAGCAAACGTTACTAAGTGTCGGCTTTCTGACAGCAGCTAAAAAGGCGTCCTACCTGCGGCCAGTAGGTGGTTGTCTGGGAATGTCGATCTGGCCCGTCGAACCTCATTTTGCCCCACACAACGAGCGCCCATCCTATCAGGCCAAGATGCCCCAGAAACAGACCCGCCCACAAAACGTCCCGGAACGGCCGCTTTGCATCCCCCCCCGCCAACGTCAACTCGGGGCGTGTCGCATTGCTCGCACGATGGGGGAGCGCCCGGGGGCTTAGAGGAACCTCCTGAAAACACAGTGGGGACCATTTTGACATGACTTTCTCCAAAGGTTTCGAAAGGAGACTGTTAGATTGGGGCCTCTTGGCTGCCTAAGCACGGAAGATGTGTGCGGGCGCTTGGGGGCTGCTCTTGAAGGGTTGTAAGCTGACAAAATTTTCTGAATCTTGCCAGAACAAGTTGAAAAGTTGTTCATTTTTTTTGACGAAATGCAACTTTAACCCTCCAGTTGAGTTTGTTGGCTTTTCCTGAATTATGGCACTCATGTCAATTGCTTCCACCCAAATGATATCTCAGTGCCAAAAGTATATCAGGGAAATTCGCATCTTTGTCGCGCAAACAAGAGCCTGCGCAAATAAGAACAGCTTTGAGAGCTAGCAACACTGCCAAGATCACTCATATCCAACATTGCTGGTTTGCATTCTTGGTTCTCCTCCTGCCACCACTGATCCACTTAACAGAATTTCGCATCTTACGGAAAGGATTGCGCACTGCTTGACCACCAGCGCAGGGCTCACCTCGGAATCAAAAGCAGCGGCTGGGGCTGTGCCCGCATGTCCTGTCTCGGCGTCATCAGAGAAGTTTGAATTGTAAGGAGTGGCAAAAGGCGTGGGCAGAGACATCGTTTGTCTGCTCAAAAGGGCTTTGGAGAATCTGCTGTGCCCCAAAAGTGCTAGTTAGGCGCAGCAAAGCCCCAGCGCATTTTGAAGATTGGTGGTGGTGCTTTTCCCAAAGGAAACCCACCGCTAACCAAGAACGGTTAGTCTTTGGTTGCCTGCCGTTCTACCAGATGAGTACACTTTGCATGTGGTTAGGTGCCCTCAGCAGCTACCAGCTAGGATCCACCGCCAGTAATGCCCCATTCAATTCCATTCTCTATGGTCCTGCAGTGCGAGCAGCCAAGAAAGCAGCGAATCAGCTCCGGCGACAGCTTGTCCCTTGCTTTCTAACCCTGCTGCTCCCCTGCTGTGGCTGCGTGACCGTACCTTTACAAAAACCAGAACGGCAAAACTTCTCAACCGAAAGAAACCATAGCTCCAGCTGAAGCTTGAAGTTGAAGTAAAGACGCATTCCTTTATCTTCCCAAATCTTTCATTCTACCTACTTCATGAATCCTGGTGCTTGAAAGACAGCACACTCAGAGGTTGAAGGTACCTAGCTGGCTGCTGTAGTCACAAATCTGGTCATCGTCATGGCGTACCTACACAGTGCCCTAGGTACCTAAACCGTCCTTCAAAGAAGTTTGCTACTTCAACTTTAAGTTTCAATCGATTCACAACAGATGAAATTGAATGCAATTGCTTTGGCAAGTTCGAGTCCAGCCGGGGTCAGGCCGTACACTGCAGAGTCGGTGACCAGTCACCGGTCGGTGGCGTAGGCTGTCCAGTGTCCGGCGCTGAGGTACAATGTACGCCCGGATTGAGTCCCCCGACTGACCAAGGCCTAGAGTGGACAGGCTGGCATGTTGGGCCGTACATAGGACGTCATGTCGGCCAACCGGGCACCTTCCGATCTGACCTCAGTCAGCTGTCAGATGGCTGGGTCATCCTGGCCGTTACAGGTAGAAAGTCAAAGTGCATCGGACGGTTCGAGAGCCACTGTTATGTAATGTCAGCATGCTCGTCGGCGCATCTTGAATGAAATCATGTAACCGCTATCTGTGCGCGCGCAGACAGTCGACTCGATCTGGACTCTCGACCCCTGCAAGCCAACTTCAAGTTCAAGAGTTGACAAGGGGATGCCAAAACTTGCTGGCAAAAGGGGAGCCTTTCAACTTTGAAAAGAGGAAGCCAGGCTGGGTCTTTGTGGCAACTCCCTCGAGCTGATTCCTTGCACGCATCGCAATGGTCAGTCTGATCTGCCTGCTGGATAATCACGGGACGCCCTTGCTGACGAGACATTATGATAACGGAACTGAGGCGCCATCGTTTCCAACTCTCGCCCTGCTGAGCACTGTAAGCCGAGAGCCCACATTTCTGTACATCTGCGGTTAAATGAGAATTGCAGAGGAACTTTGGTGCACTTCGGGGCTGAGCCCTTACATACGTGCGCTTCGTAAAGTGGCCATAAAGCAGCCCCGGGCGTTCTGCCATCAAGGGGTGGTGCTCTTTGAATATCACTCGGAAGCTTCTCATTGGCTTAAAGTTCACATGGGCAGCTCCCAGATGACCTGACACTTGCTTAAGAACTGATAGCTTGGGGAGATGAGCCAAGCTTTAAATGCATATCATATCTGTTTCCAGGTTGTCAAGTACAGCGAGCATGGCGGATACCAGCTCGATCAATTTGCCTCAGATAACATGCGGGTTGTGTTCAGGAGGTACGTGCACCACTGACACGAGCTCCCTGCACAAACTGCTTCGATGATAAGGTTGAGAATGTCTAAATGGAAGCCGTAGTAAAGATCGACAACCAGCTCAGTAATGGGGCCCATTATCCAAGACACGAGTGCCCGGACCCACAGTTGTGTAAATTGCTTTCAAAGTAATGACACTCAGGTGTACATCGAAATGGACGCCACTGTTCACAAGATCTGACCCAATTGCAATGTGGCCACCACCCTTCTCCTTCTTTGTTAATCGAGATCAGACAAACCCCCCGACGGGTCTATTTCAAAGTGACATCTCAATCAGCTGGACATGGCCTGTAGAAACACCAGACTCTGGCGCAAGAAGATATTGCCTCAGTAATAATCGACTTTCTGACTCCTGCTTTTTGTGCACAGCTTTCCAGAGGGCCTTCTCCTGGTGGCAATGACGGGAGACCTGGCAACGCCGGAAAGCGCACTGGGCAGGATGCTACAAAGAATACACGATGCGGTATGTGCTAGACTAGTTTCCCCCAACCTGTCAATGCTGAACATCTGGTACGTTGCAGGAATGTCAATTGATTACTCATATTATTGAACAGGAGATGGGGGGCGACAGGTGCTCTTGATTGATGCAGGGGACTTTAGGAAACAAACTTAGGGATCATTGATTGTTACTTTCGCGTGTGCGCAGATAGTGATGGTCCTGGGGGCGAGCACGCTAAGTGGAAGCACGGACGCTCTGAAGCGCCAGCTCAAGGTGCACTCTCCCACCCTGTTTGCAAGAAGGCGGCGGCGTGCTGTGCCGCTGGCCACTTTGTGGCCGATGTACCTAGAGCTTGTGTCGTGACTCAGGCACTTGCAACTTTTCCATAAAACTACACAAAAAGTTAGATTTGTCACTGAGGTTCCACTAACTCTGAAAGTTTCTTCATATGCGGTGAGCCAGATCTAAGATGAGAGCGTCAAGAAATGGTTAAGTATGATAAGGCTGCATGCCTTCGATGCTGCTGCCTGAACAATTCTCTCGTCCACCCTTCCCAGAGTGTCGTCCCCCTGGTTGACCGCTTGGCGGGCAGAGCTGGGGCGGCCGACTCCGGAGTGGACATGGTTGAGGTGCAGATTCGCCTGCTTAGTTGCTGTCTTATCTGCACCCATCGAGCTTCCATCCTCCTGCTGCTGAAGAGCCGTGCTTTCCATGGGACGATCAGACCTCAGATGTGTAGATTTGCTGCAAATACGCCTCGGGTCATGCCGTTTTCCCGGCCAGAAATGACATTTGGACGTCTGCTTTTGGGTCCCGCAGATCCTGCCCCTGTCCTCTACTGAGCGCGCCGACCTGCGAGCTGGCGCGTCCTCATTGGCCGCAGCTGCCCACGTGGACCACGTGGCAGTGACTCTGGGCGGCCGCTTCGTGGCCGGAACTCCTGACTGGTGGGCGCTAGACCCGGGGGGGGTGCTACTGATTCAGCAGCTACTAGCGACGCAGCCGCCGGCGCTGATGAGAGACGTGCCGCTATTCCTGCCTAAGACGAGCCCCGAGGTGAGTGAAGCAGTCTGGCCTGGCGATCGGTTCCAATGACTTTCTGAGTGAGGGATAGTTGTTAAAAAAGGAAGATCTGTTCAAACAGGAAAGGTTTCGCGAGTGCAGATGAAGTATATTCTTAAGCCCATGTTCCTCGGCCCTGCTAATGCCGTGAAAAAGAGGTGCCCTTTTACAAGTTTAAGCCTGCACCTCCTCAATGCAGTAGCAGATATTGCATCACAGTGGTGAGCGGGAGAGAACGCCCATCTCTAAGACCGAGTTATCGCGCCAAGTGCTGTTCTCCTCATCTGAAGCTGACGTATGTTTTTAGGTCGCGTTCCGCCTCCTTACTTGCCGACTGACGGCGGAAGCGGAAGTTCTCCTTCTAGGGGGGCCAGAGCTAGAGCTGACCAAGCTGGCCGTGGTAAGTGACGTCAGACGCTTCTTAAGCGGGAAGACACACCGTTTTAGCCGGCACTTATCCTTTCTAAAGTATTTGCGCTGACAAAGATCATTTGGACCGCCAGTGTGGAAGAAGCTACCCAACAGCCGTTCACTGATGTTCACTCTTGTCCGCTTGCAACGTCTTCGATCATTACTCCCTTCCCTCCGGCTAGCAAACATTGTTGATCCCTACACGGCCGGAACCCCCCGGACACAGGAACGAGTTTGGCTCATACTGGCCCATGAATCAGCAGGATGAGATATTTTAGATGGTCATTGTATCAGCTCATTGGCTGCTTTCAATATGTTCGGCTTTGGGGTCAAAACACGCGCAAGGGGTAACAAAGAACCAGAAAACGCGATCTCCGATTCTACCCGCTCCGTACCCTAACCCACGCTGAATTCCCTAAGTTACCCCACCCGTCTCAGGCGGGTGAGCTTCCTGTTCCCAAGGTTTATGACTCCTATAACTCAGAAAGAATCTGTTCTTGCAGCTCGCGAAGGCCGCCTTCCAGGCCACAGCCGCTTCCTTGTACGCGTGCGCCACCCACCTGCCACGTGGCTGCACGTCGTCCGTCGCCTTCCCCGACGAGATGCTGATGTGAGTCGTCAGATAAGACGCCCCTCTTATTGCCTTATCCTTCTAAACACATAACTCTATGCTGAAGACATAACTTCACGTTTTGTGTTCTCTAGATTGCCAAAGGTCTGCGGCTTTGCGGATTTGCCCATTCGCTTGTTTCTCGCCCAATCGGTTGGTCCTCGGTCTCCTTCCGCCTCTAGAACTGTACTCCCTGATTAAGTCAGCCTGACGAGGGGCTCTAAGTTTGTCAACCATTTCCATGTAATTCCCGACCAATCAAGCTGCGGAGACCTTCTTATCAAGCTTTCGCTTCTAGCTTTGGCGGGACACTTTTTCCGTTCTTCGCATGTGGCTTATAACTAATCAGTGTTCTTGCTTCCCGCTCCGCAGTTTCGTGTGCATCCGTTCCGACGTCCAACAAGCGTTCCGCTATTGCCCGCCTCTGCCGCCGGAACCGTCCGCAACGGACGATCAAAGCAGAGCTGCAACGAACTTGCAGAAGGTAAAAGCGTCTCAAGTCCGGCGCATTTCTTGAGTCGCTTTTGGAGGGAAGCCGGTGGGTCGAGCCACTGACCAGCAATGGCTTCTGATTGTTGAACGCACGTGTTATTTTTTATTCCAAGCCGTTTCAACAGCAGATACAAGCCCATCTGTGCCACACTAAGCCGCATAGCAACGTAAAGTGAATATGAAGCCAAGCATAAGGACCGAAGGCCTGTCGGTCGGCCCTAAACCTGACCTTCATCGAGTCTCTGCTGCGCAGTTCATGTACCACGTAGAAGCCCTCGTCGAACAGCACGCTCGAGACCAGCCGCCGGTGGAAAGCGGAACGCGAACTGAATTGAGCGACGTGGTGCTACGGGAGGAGGTGAGCAGCGGCGGCCGGCGCTTCCGTCACTCTATTTGTTTTCCGCTTCTTGTTCCGGTTTCGTCTTGGACCGGAACGGGAAAAAACCAAGGCTGCGGCGTATGAATCGCACATGCTGCCTCATGCGTGTTTTCTCGAAGTTTTCTCATGTAGGCGACAGGTTGCTCTGAGAGGGAAAATTGTGTCACTTGACCGATCCAAGGCACTACGGTGGGCTGGCCTATGGAAACGTTTCTTGCGGGATCCCCCTCGATGCCACCCAATCTGCGAGGACCTGCTTCCCGGAAACTTTAAGTTTCAGCGATTTGATCATTCACATGACGAACCGTGTCTTCTTAAAGAATAATGAAGCATTCCCAGCTCAACGGAGTGTACTCAATCTGCAGGACCGATGCTACGTGGCGGTCAACAGCGGCAACCATACACTGTTTGCGGCTCTGAAGGAAGAGGTGAGAAATTTGGATCTTTGCTGTCCCTTTGCTTCAATCTTATTTTGTATGGTCAAGCAGGCACTTCATAAGCACTACGTCGTGCAGTGAGATGCCCCAACGTGCGTCAATGAGATCCAATATGACAAGTAAGTCGACATTTGACCTTCAACACTCTGGCTCGTTTCTTCTTTCCGTCTGCGTTGGCGCCTGAACTTACTTCGACGGTGATCGCGGGTGTTTTTCCCTAGAACCGTCCATTCGGCAGTCTGCTTAGCCGTGCCGCTTCAAAAACAATATTACCGAAGTTTCCCTCTTTAAACTGCAGGTCCCCTCGTATGCTGCAACCGCGATCGCCAGAGCTGCGCTGCAAGCCGTTCAGTCTCTGGCCGGCTACACGTAGCTGCGCCACAAACGCGACGAGTATGCGTAGAGAGAAGCGGCGCGGAATCGGCCGGGCTCCCAACGTCAATTTCATGGTAAGGCTGGGATGCTAATGTCGTCGGCCGAATGCGCTTTGTAAGCACTGGACGTCTTAATAGACCCACAACGGTCTCTGTATGTCGTTCCTAAAACAGTCGCCGGTGCTTAAGTCTATGTAAACCACGTATCGTTGCCGTGCCTAACATCAGCTCCATGTGACCTTGAATCGAGTTGATCAGCAGTTTGCAAATGTACACGTGGCGAACCGCTAAGTCCTTTGCTATGCAGGCTCGCACAAGCTACCGTGCGAAACGGATCCCAAAGAACATGCCTTGGTGGTCCAGGGCCAAGTTATTCCAGAGGCTCCAACACGTAAGCTGCAGCGATTCGGCCTTCACTTTGAGTCCCATGCTTAGATTTCCTTGTAGCTCCACACTTCAATTATTGCTTAGTGTCCTGGCCAGTGCCTTCTTCAATCTGATACAAAAGAACGCACTGGCCACGAAAATCTGGCGATTGCGTGCAACGATATTCCCAGACGATCATCTCCCTTATGTTCTACTGAGAGCGTTTGGAGGTCAGAACGAGGGCACACCATCTCTTTTTCACGTTTTCTGCTCATGCATCTTACGCATACATGCCTAGTTTGAGACAAGTCTTCGAGTTCGGAGTGTTTGCACATGCCTTTCTCGAGCATCTTCTCCAATTATGCAGGTGTAAGCAACAGCCGGTTGTGCACGGTTGGCTTAGGTCAGGATCAACACAATACACTAGGAAGCTTTCTAGCCGAAACGGAAATGGCACTGACATCAACCTCAATGTACGGACCGTACCGCTCGGGCACCTGGGGTACTCAGACTCCAAGCAGCTATAGTACACAGGAAACAACATGCGACTATCTTAAGGCAACTTTTTAGCTCTACATAGTGGCAAGCGAGCCAGCTCTAGCTATTTTCCGGGGAGGGATGCCGTCCTCCCTAGAAGATGTCCTGCCACTCGGTGTACTTCCCCAACTCAGTCGGGTCTGCTTATCTCGCCCAAGGCGCTTGTAACCAAGTACCTGAAAAGAAAGGAAATCAACCTTCATATTCATACCCGTCGAGGCGCCGAGGACAATAAGTATCTTCAAAGGTGGCTGGTTGCATCTTTTCGAATCTGGTCCCAGCTTATTCTGCTACTAGCTACTATACCATTGCATGTGACGCCGACGTATACTGAAGTATGCACGTTGGCCACTTGCCAGTCGCGCACGCGTCTCAATTCAATGATTATCTACGTTGCGTGTCAGATTGCTCAACGGAGATCGAGGTGCGCGCACATGCCAGCCCCTGTTTACCCGAGTGACATCAGCATCTTGGCTTAGCAATTTGAAACGTTAGTCATACGATCTCTGGCATGCATTGTGAGTTAAAAAGACAGTACGTCTAGGTAAGTTCTGCACTTGCGGCTGGCTTTGCTTCGGCCGTCTCAAGCCCGGCCCAAAACTGCCTCGAGCTCAGCCTGGCTTACTGAGGCCATTCCAGAAGCAAGTTCCGCTCATATTCGCGCCTATATACAGCATAGCTGGCCGCCAACAGTCAATCTTCCAACCACAGGCTGAGGCGCGTTCGTTTTTGATAATGTCATTGAGTTTATTGGGAGTTTCACTGCCAGCGTGGCCGCACGCCGGAGCATTTGGATGCCACTACTCCTTGGCGGCCGTTGTTTAATCGCCCTCATCTGCAAATGTTTAGCTCGAGACCATGCAGAACAGAGAGTCGAGACGGAGTCCTACCTCGGTCGCCCGCTTGTCTTGAGGCACGTCCATCAGGTGCGGCCGCGGCGTGCTCAGCCCTCCGTCGCTTTCCGCGCTGTGCGTCCCCTCCCCTTCCGCCGTCCTCCCCCCAGCCGCCTTCCGGGCCGCTTCCGGAACGTACTCGTACGCCCGGAAGTGCGCGATCGCCTCCTGGAGCTCCGGACGCTCCGTGCGCTCGTCCGAATGAGTGTCCGTAGCGCCCGGGCCGCCAGAGTTCCCACTCGACCGCGACCGGCCTGGGCCCCTCTTCGCGCTCGGTGTTCCACCCCGGGCGGCAGACTCGACCCGACCGAAGGGCGCGTTCACACTCCGCGCCCTTGGGTTCGTCTGCGCCTTCGGCCAACCCGGTGTAAAACCCGCAGTTGGCGCGCCATTCCTTTCTCGGGTAGACTGCAGCCCGGTCGAGATACCGAGAGCAGGGCTCGAAGGAAACCGCTGACGCTTCTGGCCCTGGTTGTCGAGCGGAAACGCACTCGTCTGCGGCCATTCGGGCTTCCTCTTGCGCGCGAGCCAGCTCTCCAGCCCGTCGCCAGCGCCCCTTGCTCTAGTTGCATCCCGAGGGTCTTCCCATGCGGCCACTGTGGCTGCGCCCGTCGGCGCGCCGGCGCGCGGCCGCGCCTGCTCAAACCCTCCCCCAAAACCCTCTGCCGCTGGGTCCTCGAACCGGCTGCGCTCTTCAAACGGTCCCACTTGGTCGAAGTCCGTCCGGCCGAGGAACGGAAGGCCCTCGTACAGGTCCTCCTGCAGAAAAGCTTCCGGGCCGTCCGAGTAGGGCACTCGCCTCTGCTCCCGGCGTCCGTAACCCCTCTCCTCAACGTCCGAGAACGGCACGTGCATCTGCTGCCGGTGTCCGAAACCCCTTTCCTGGACCGGCTCTTGCTCCGCGATCTCCCTCGCCGACGGCCATTCGGATTCCGGTTCTCGCGCCGCTTCGATCTCCGCAGCCGTGGGAAACTCGGGGTAAGCCGGAGCGCTGACGTCAGCTTCCATCCGGTAGTCCTCTTGGTACGTCTGAGGACCTTCTCCTGGGGCCAAGATTCCCGACTGCGGAACCCCTCCGTGCTGCGGGTATCGATCCGGCGGAACCTCCCAGTTGGACCGCCCCGGTTGATGCGCTTCTGCTGCCCTCCTTTCGTAGCCATACGAGCCCATCTCGTCACGTTCAAACTGGTGAGGAGCGCTCTCATAAGCGGACCCCGCTTCGCATTCCGCTGCTGCTCCATAAGGGATTGCTCCTTCGCAGCGCGCCCCCCCCTCTGGATCCCGACCGCAGTGCACCGTGTACTGGAGTGTGAAAAGGCGCAGGCTGCGCACCGGGACGTCGAACCGCCGCGTCAGCGCGACCTGCTGCTCCTCCGGAAGTTGCGCGAAGTGGGGCGCATTCACACCCGACGCCAGGATGGCGTGCGCGCTTACCGGGTTCAGGCTGGGAAAGGCCGTGAGAAAAGCCTCCAGGGGCGACGCAGTTTCCGGCATGGGGGGGGGGGTTTCGGGCGGAACGGAAGCGCTCCGTTTGGGCAAGGTTCGGATGGATCCGATGAGCTTGAGAACGAAGCGGTTGGTCGTGTCGGGGCAGTCTGAGAGGAGGCACTGGAGGTTGATGTCGAGGCCGAGAGCGGCCGCGTGGAGCGGGGTCAGCTCCTGATAGGTGGCGCGGAGGAAGGCGGGCGGGCCCTCGAAGATCTGCAAAGGGTTTGATGAAATAGCGGGGCAAAGTCAGAAGATTAGAGTCACTGCCTTGGAAGCCTGGTTCTGCGACAGCTTCAAGATCACTGCATAACGAACTTACCAAGAGATGCTGAGTAGCAGGACAATAGACGAGGAGACTGAGATACGAAGTCGCTTGTTGAGCGGGAGTCGAGGCTTCTCTTTGCCTTCGTCATGCAACCTGTATCCTTCAGAAACCAACTCTGCAAGATCTCCAAAAAGTGTCGGACAAAGAGGAGAGTTGCAGAGTAGAATTACATGCCGGGCAAGAAGACCTTGCTCGATCCTTTTGACAATCCCTCTCACCAGGACGGCCGTCTTGTAGGCGAAGCTGACCGCCTTCAGGTGACTGTCCACCGCATCCTGGAAGCAGGCCGGCAGGAGCGCCGCGAGCCTGTTCACATCGTCCAGGCACAGCGGATCCAGGCCCAGCCGCTCCGGTGTGAATATGGTCAGACACGTGGCGCCGTGGAGGATGAGGTCCGCGGGCAGCGCCATGTCGCGCTCGACGACCTGTGCGCGCGCGCTCTTCTCCAGCTGAACGACTGACTGGTAAAGGGCGCGTCGCATGCTGATCTCGCTGTCGAGCATGTTGGCCACGATGAGAATGCGCCGGCCGCGGTCCGGGGGTTTGTTTTGGCTCGGCTGGACGTCCCTAGTGGGGACCTCAGGGATTTGATTGCCGATGTTGGTCGGAAGTGGCTCCGGGCGGCTGGTTGCGGGGAAGGCGGAGGGCTGGGGCTTGGAAACAGGAGCTGGCGGGTTTGCCTGCGAAGAGAGAGGTGCATTCAGATTGTCGGCTCCATCTCCCGCAGAGAGCCTCGTAGAATGGCACGACAACGCAGAGTAAGATCTGGCGACATCTTGAAATCAAAGTCTTCAGTCGGGTAGATTGGGATAGTGCAAAGAAGAGGACTTGATCACTTCTGAAGCAGGTCTTGAGGACCACGGGAGTGCAGCTGCGTCGTAATCGCAGTCGTCAAGTCCCTTACAACTGTTTTTCTCCAAGTTTGACCAACAAAGATAGAAGAGTCTGCAGAAAGTGAGGATCTTGCATGGGAGACTGCTTCTGCTTCACGTTACAAAGGAGATTCTCTATGGAACTCGCATTCATGCTTACCTGGGCCTCTCCCCGAGACGGTACAGAAGGGACTCCAACACCCTCTTTCAATACCCTCATCTCCTCCACATGGCCGCGGACCCCGATCTTGTGGCGAGGGCACGTGGCTTGAGCCAGAAGCTCTTCAACCTGGTTCAGATCCGTGTCCGAGTTGCTGAGCCTTCCGTCCGAGAACTGGACGATCAAACCGAAGTCGTTCAAGGGGAAGGAGGCTTTGAGATACCTGTAGGAAAATGTCTATAACTAGCATGGGGGAGCAGTATCCTGCAATATTTGAACGTTCTGCACTCGCTGGAGTGTTGAAATTGCTGATGCTGATGGCTCGCAGCATTCGTCAGAGGAAAATGTGGGCTTAAGTCTCTCCTCCCGAGAGCGGAGAAGATAGCTGAGTCGTCAAGACACAAGGCTAAAAATGCTCTTCCTTTGTTTGAATATCTATGTAGCCTCTCTGTGCAACTAAAGCAATGCTAGGGAAAGACGGTACTTACCCGTATGATACGAGAAGACAATTGGAAACCGTCAGGGCCTCTTCGACTCCTTGCTTAAGCTTCTGTTGGGCTTCGGCCCCTACGGAAGTCAGAGCTTTGAGAATGCTTTCGTCTCGGTCGAGCTGGAAGGGCCGGAGTCCCGCCCCGACAAGCTCGTTGTACATGCTGATGAATGCTCGCCTGCGGAAGACGCAGACGTCATTGTCGAATCGATTCGACTTAATTCCAAACCATCCTCCCTTCTGCGATCCAAAAAGCGCAGCTCCTTTTGGGATGGTTCCCTTCATGCTGCTACACTGATGGCCTATAGCAATTTCCTCCCCGTTGGGCTGGTTTTATTGATATTTCGACGAGGGTTAAGCTTAAAGCAAGCCATTTCATCATTCTCTCACAACATCGAACGAAAAACAGTACCCACCTGTCCGCAAAAATTAGTATCTTTCTTTCCTGCTCGTCCCGCCGCCCACCAGAGGTAACTGCCGCCTTCAGGAGGTCACGCAGGCAAGCGAGCTTGGGCGTGTCGATCGCCAGGCCTGCCTCGACCCGGCCGTACGCGGTCTCCAGGGCGCTCTTGCTTTTCAACACAGCCATGGACATAAAGGGCATCGTCTGCAGGCTATGCTCCAAGTAGAGGAAGGCCACCTGCACCAGCGGAGGAAAGTGTCAACAGGCTGCCACATTTGAGGAACAGGGAAGTCAATCACCGGGTCTGATAACGGAAGTATCAAAGCCGTGCAAGAGGCATAACACTCGTTGACTATCTTTCTAACGTCGAAAACTAGAGTCAGAAAGCACCACAACTTATGCGACAGTCGAGCCAAGGGTAGCCCAGAGGCTTTACATTTCAGCTGCCGATACCACGGAAAGGAAGCTGCTCTACATCAGAACCTTCAAGTCAAGCAGAAGATTCACCATCGGCTGTTGAAGATAGATCAAGGAGCCACGCAAGCAGAAAACCTAGAATCAGTACCTACCCGCACTCCGTAATCCAGCAGGTTCGACGCCGTCTGCCGGAGCGTCCACACAGTCGCGCACAGCCTTAAGCTCTGCTGATGGACGTCCCCCGTCTCCTTTTCCGAAGCAGCCGCTCTCTTTACCAGTGCCATCAACTCCCGGTTCCCCGCAGCGTCTACGCCAAATCCTGGCACTTTCTCCTTTAGCCTGCTCTTCTCTCTGACCAAGATCGCGCTGTAGTCAGATCTTAGCGCCGCAAGTAGGGCTTCGTGATCCTCTGGAAGGTCTACTGTGTGAACTTCTACGGCGGGCGCGCTCGGAGCTTGAACAGCTTTTCCATTCTCAGACGCTTCTCGGCTTCCCAGGTCTTTCTCCGTGGCACCTCTGCGCTTCTTGCTCGCGGGCTCCTGTTCTGCGGCAGCAGGAGCGCGCGCGCGCACCGTTCCTTTCCTAGCTTGCATGAAGAAGGACAGGTCCTCGGTCATTGCGCCGGCAGTCTTGCTGACGAAAGCGGACCGCTGCCTGACGCTGCCCTCCGAGGCTCTCGCTGCTGCAGAGCTCTCTCTTTGGAAGACCACTTCTCCCTCAAGTGCCTCTTCCTCAACTGGTCTTTTCCCCCGGGAGCTCTCTGACGTCTCTCCTTCGTCGGGTTCAGGAGCAGCGAGAAAAGCAAGCAGGACGGAGGCCTTGTTCGCTGAAGGCTGCTGAGGCTCTGGAGGAACAGGGGCAGGCTCAAGCTCAGCTTTCATCTTCTTTTTGAACCGGAAGCAGCTTGCCTGGTTGCACGCCCCCGATTGGGAGAGGTGCCAATCGAGATAGAGACTGTCGCCACCTAGACTGCGCGGTCGAGCGTGCGAGGAAGAGAAGATCTGAGTGGCCGTCTCTGCTGCGGGGCCCTGGCACGGCAAGTACGGAACTGGCAGCATGTTGAAGTTGAAGGAGTCCATTCTCAGCTCGGGGTGTGCCACCAGGCGATGGAACTCGTTTTCAATGGACTCAGCCGTCGGCTCTTCCAAGGCTCCGTTTGCTTCGTCCTCTGAAACCACAGCGTTGAGCTTTGTGCAGACGAGGATCGCCTTTTTAGCAACGTTGGAAGGGAGGCCCTTAAAGAACTCGAGCGGATGGATTAGTGCTGGCTCTGCCAAGGCCTCAAGCGAAGGCTGCTTTGAACCCTGTTCCCTCGGTTGCACGCCATCGCTCCTTTCTGCAAGGACCTCTTCCCAGCAAAGAACGGGTTCCGCCAAACCCGTCTCCTCCTCTTCTAAAACCCGCTTTTCCACAAACGCAGACCACGAGCTCTTATCCGATTCGGATGCATTTGAGCAGTCGGGAGTGTCAATGCTCTGATCTGCCAGCTGGGAAGCGAAGTCTTCAAACGGTTTCGTCAGGAAACCAAGCCCTGCGTTTCGCATTCTGCTGCCTTCACCCAGAGCAACATCAGGAAGCTCCTGAGGTTCAAATTCCCAGACCGTCGCTTCTGTGCTTCGGCATCCGGAGTCGTCTGCATTGACTGAAGAGCTCTTCGTTGTTGGACACTTGGATTTCTTCTCCTCTGCTTCCAGCATGCTGATGATCAAAGGGCAAGACGCCGCTGTATCAGGATTGGAAATCTCAAGCGGCTCTTGGAGATAACCAGGGTCCAGACCTACTTTCTCCTGCAGACGAATAAATGAGTTCACTCGGAGCCACTCACCATGCATAAAGCCTCAAGCATGAGCAAATGCACGATGATCCACTCGAGGAAGGTAAAGGAACAGGCGCATGATCCACGTTCTGAGGCTTTCTTTGAAGACTCCAGAATGTAAATGGTGCTATCATGCAGAGTCCTTGCTGCAGCTTTTGAAACACAGTTGAACAGTATGAATCATTTCAAGCCTTACCCGTAATCTCCGTAATACAGGGACCTCTTCGTCGATCTCAACCTCTTGAGATAACTTTATAAGGCAGCATGGGCTCGAGCCTCGATGCTGTCCCTGGAAAGGAAAATGAGGGACTTTCAACAGATTTGTCTAAGCTTATGCTGTGAGATGATCTGAGATGACAAATATGGAAAAACATTCAATATTGTTTTTTGCTCAAGACTGTGGCAGTCATCGTGGATTGAGTTTTCTAGAAAACCTACCTGCAGGTCGCTTTGGTCGAAAAACTCGCTTTCTTCGAGTTTCTGTATCGGATCAGCTTCGAAGACCTCTGGATCTGGATCCTCCAAGGTCCTGAAAGTGGACCAGAAAGAATGCTGGCTCTCCATGTTAGAGACCCTACCCTCCTGAACTGGGAAAGGCGGAAAGCCGGCGTCACACGCTGCTGTTTGTGAAGAGAGGTGCGAATCCCTCGAAGATGCAACTGGAGATGATTTGCCCAGGATGCTTCCTCCATCCTCAATCAAGATCCTCTCAAAGCTCTCTGCAAGAGCATTCGCTGTCTCCCGTTCGTTTGCAGCTGGATGGTCTGTGAGATGCCATCCGCTGACTTGCAGCAGATCGTCGCAGGACGAGATGATTGCAGGTGTAACCTTCTTCTCAGGATCTTCTGGCCTGCATGGAGCTACTCTTGGAACCGGGAGCAGATACGATATGTGTTGTGCTCGCTCTTTCGCTGCTTGTATCGCAAAGAAATCTGTCCCATAAGAACGGAGACGCATGGTGCCTTTTGACCCGTGATATAGCAGCTCTGCTTTGTATTCTGATTAAGATACTACAAGAGGACACTTTGTCAATCTCGTTGAGGGGATCGCATGTCGTTCAGGCCACTTCATCAGCAAGTTCAACGCTTCTTTGCCCATCATCAAGCCATGTTGATGAAGCCCCTTGCCACCTGAAGCTAGGGAGATCCAAAAGTTGGCTCTTCTCAGCTGGCGCCAGCGCCCTCATCTGGAATTGGGGCAGTCAAGCATGTATTTCTGCAATTCTTCCGTCTCTGCTACATAGCTGAGGCTCAGATGATTGCCACACTGTTCGTCGCATGCGGCCGCGCGTTCGGTCAGCTTGCACCGCTTTTGCCAGTGTAGCGGAGGGTTTTGTCAGGGTTTTGCCTATCCTCCGACGAGCATTTTGAGGGTTCTAGGTTGGAAAGGTCTCCCGCATCTAGTTTCCTGTGAAATGTGTAGGCTACACTGTAGAAAAGTCTGAAAACGCTAGCTAGAGCCACGCGCAGAAAGGAGGGGCTATCAAGGGCGGAAAGGAGGCAGCCCGGAAAGCCAAGGTCACCAGCAAATTGATCGAGCCAATCGGCCAGCACCAGACATCACTGCCTTTGCTTAAAAGTGATAAATTGAGCTTCTCGGGAGCTGACGTTACTGACTCAGAGACTTTGGCGTGCTACTTGACAGTGCGTCTTCTGTAGTTATTGATTCGAGCGAGGATTTGATTCAGGACAATCTTGAGAAATCAAGGATCTGAGGGGAAATCCTCCCCCAACAATTGAGCAGGCCACACATTGCTTCACTCAATTATCTAGGCAGCAATGTCAGGTGGAGGAGCGAGGCTGGTCGTGGTGCCAACGGTGACTGTTCTGGCAGTCATCAAGGCTCGTCTTATAGGTGCCACAAAAGGTCATCAGCTTCTGAAAAAGAAGAGCGATGCGCTCACTATGCAATTCAGGCAGATCCTGAAGAGAATTGTGGAGACAAAGGAGATGATGGGAGAGACAATGAAGCAAGCGGCGTTTGCACTCACGGAAGCCAAGTATGCAGCGGGGGATAACATCAAGCATACAGTCTTTGAGAATGTGTCATCAGCCACCATAAAGGTATGCGCAAATGATCCAAATGATGTCTTCCTGATTGCGAATTTCAAGCTCGTTGCATCGTGCATTTGCCATGATCCTGATGTTAATGATCGCCCCAGAATGAGTGCTCTGTCATCTGTGCTGTACGCTCTTCTTTTCGTGGGCCTTTCAAGCTTAGGAGATGAGCATTAAAGCTGTACTCTCATGTCTTACTAGCTTTTGATTCAAAATTCTGACTCCCAACTCTTCTATCAACCTCACTGGTGATGCTAAGTCCACTTCTAACTTTATCACACTGCTGCCTTGAACAGGTTAGGTCGAAGCAGGATAATGTGGCCGGGGTCAAGCTCCCAAAGTTCCAGCATTACACGGAAGCGGGTGAAACGAAGAATGCTTTGACTGGACTCGCAAGGGGAGGGCAGCAAATACAGCTTTGCAAATCTGCTTACGTAAAGGTAGGCAACCCAATGTCTCTTACTTGTGGAGGATGTGGAGGAGCTGCAAAGCTTGGCTTCCAGTTTGACCTCTTTCTCCATCAATGCATGTGCCAAACAAAACTCCTGCTTTTAGTAGAGCCTTTGACTCTGCTTACTCAGATCGCCTGTGAACTTTGATTCTAAGATGGTCTTGAAAAGAGTGGATCTCATACACTGCAGGGAATGGAACTGAATCTATGCAACTTCTCATACTGTTCCGAAATCAGACCAAGTCTTCCCCCTCTCACTACATTCTAGCTTTGATTGGTGATCGCTGCTTGCAGGCTGTGGAATTGCTCGTAGAGCTGGCCTCCTTGCAAACATCGTTCCTCACGCTTGACGAGGCCATCAAGACCACGAACCGGCGTGTAAATGCACTGGAGAATGTTGTGAAGCCGAAACTGGAGAACACTATCTCATACATCAAGGGTGAGCTGGACGAGCTGGAGAGAGAGGAGTTCTTCCGTCTCAAGAAGGTGCAAGCGAACAAGAAGAAGGTCGCTGACAGGGAGCTCAAGGTATGTGCTAACCCTGTCTCCTTATGTAGTTGACAGTTGAAGGTTGAGAAGTGGTAGCATTGAACGAGTATACTTGGCGCCTCAGAAAACGTTGATCCTTTTTTGAGATATTCATAGGAGGTTTTGCATGAGCTACTTGATCGGCAGGCCTCCGTTGGAGTTATTCTGATTTTATTTCTTTTTGTTTTCTCCAGGAAAAGCTTGATGCTGCTGGGCGGGTCGCTGACAAACTGGCAGCCCGTGCTGAGGAAGTCGTAAGTATGTTGACAGCAAATGGCAAGGACGAGGACGTCATTTTCTGATTGTTTTACCTCCCGGTCGTCATGTACATAGCCGATTTAGAACCTTGTGTTCAAGCACGCCCATGAGGTGTATAGCTTACAGGTATAATCAGCAATGATCAGGTTTCTCAACTTTTTTAGTTCCGCCATAAGCTAGGCTCAGAAAAAGATTCAGATTTCCGTCATAAGCCGTACAGAAGAATGGAGTGAACTGGTGAACAAAGGCGGCAATATGCATTGCAGCTATTGTCCGGTTCTCAAAGTTGCAAGCTGAACGGATCGAATGCAAGAAGCTCTTGGCACGCCCTCAAGAAGTGCCACCCAATGTTGATGAGTGATGATTTTGCCACGTCTCCGGGGTGGACGGTATGAATCTCATGCAACTGCAATGCAGATCTAGAGAGCTAGATTGCTGATATTTTTGCACTTTCAATAACATGTTATGATTATAAGTTGGATGAGAATTGATGTATACATGTTATAGCTCTGGCAATCGACTGGCTCTGCGATCTGGGTGCATAGTCGGATGTCGTTTGCACGGTACCAGGTCCTGGTCACCATGTGTCATTGCATGATAAGCAGCTTCGATGCCTTGTTAGCTAGTGCAGTGCAGTGCTAACACTTGAGTGCACGCGGTCAGTATGGAACGGCGCGTCTGATGCATGCATGCATTAACTTGAGTCACTAGATTTCCGAGGCCGCTTGCGCATTAATACGAACGGCTACTCTAGGCGCGGGCCTCAGCCATGCATCATGGCATGTCACTTGGATGCATGCGGCGTTTCAATGCAAGAATATGGGCCCACTGAGCGTCAGGCTCAGAATATAATCGCCGGCAATGACTCCATGGGTGCGACGTACAGGCCGGGCACTGACCTGCCTGTCTCACAAGATCAAAGCTTTTGTTGCCACTGGCACTGATGCGAAGCCTGTCTGTGGCACTGCCGTAATGATGGCGGTAGACGCATCCTCCACGAACTTTGGAAGGTAAAGACGACAGTAACTTCTTGGGGTGAGGTGCAAGCCCAATCTGATGCAAGCCATGAGTTCACGGGAATCATGAGATGTCGGAGGATGAGGTCTCAGCTTAATGTTAGCTAAAGGTTTTCCTGCCTGCATAATCTCCACTAGAATCAAGTTGTCACCACTAACTCATCCGTTTCGGCGGCTCCAGGGCAGGGCGTCGACTCTCAACTCAGAATCGATACTCTGGTTCTACCTCGAGCGCCCATGTAAATTTGTTGAGCAAGGACTTGTTAAAGATCTGCGGAGAGTAACTCGATCGTTAGGAGAAGGAAGTTGCTGTTTCCGATGCTCCCCTTTTGAGCATGCGTGCACAAGCAAACCACGCGGATCGGGGTACGAAACAAGTGTTGCGAAGCGGGACTCCAAAAAGAGCTCTCGACAAAGGCCGTACTGCAGAATTCACACTTGATACCGTTCAACAGGGTAACGGAAGCCCCGGCCTGACAAGCTCTCAAAATCCGTGACAGAAAGTGCAAAGTAGAAGACAGTAGCACATCTCAACTTAGACGGTGGAAACAAAAGTCTATCTATGAGCAGCAAAGACACAAGGTGCCAGCTCACCTTTTCGATAGGCACTTCGTGCTTTTTGCACCAGGCAACACTGATCCGCGGGTCCATATAATTGATCTTGGACGTGCCCAAGGCGACTGTCTTGAGGTCGTCCTTCTGCGCCATCTCGTGCGCAATCTTGCGCAGCTGGAGCTCCTTTTTCTCTATTTGCCGTTGCACCCTGCAGACCAGCAGTGGACTTTTCAGCACAGTGAGAACGGTCCTCAGTCCTACCACTCTGCGCCTTAGGACTGATAATTAAGGCATTCCTCTGAAACTGCTGGTGACAGCAGATTAGATCCACTCCGAAGCCGTCCCAAATAACCAATCAATGAAGAGCTTTCCTCGAAATCTCCCACTTGAAAATTCGTCAAAGCGACAAAGAAACGGTTCCACAAACCCCGTTCCACGCCAAACCCCCAACACTCCCTTCCAAAAGCACTGACAGCATCAGACACGCGGCGGCGCACTCACGCGTCCGGCTGCTGCACTTTCTTCTCCTTGTCCTCCCCCGGCCGCTTCTTGGGCGGTTTCCCTTTCCTGGCGCGCGCGAGGTCCTCCTTGAGGAAGCCCAGCTCCTCCTCCGCCTCCTTGAGCTTCAGGCTCAGCTTCTCCATCTGGCCCTCGTGCGCCTTGGACACGCTCCGCTGATGGTTGCACAGAATGGCCACCTGCGCACGCACGTAACCTGTGCTCAGCAAGCTCTTTTATAACCTTTTGTTAGCTGCAAGCATGCGCGAACGGTCAAGCTCAACAAGCTCTTTTTGAGGCTTCGTTAGCTGCGAGCGAGCGCGGACGGTCACGCTCAACAAGCGCTGATTCTTTGTTCATTCAATGGCCGCATGCGTGCTCCTACTGCCAATACTTTTGTCCAGACGTGCAGAAGCAGGTGAGGAAGTTTACAAGAAACTACCGGCAGACCTTTTCTGTCAGGCATGACTAACCATTGGTTAAGAGTCAGCAACCAAAACATCAAGCATTGGAATCATCCTAAACCATGAAGCGGACGTGACCAAAATAAACATGCAAACCACGCCTGCCCCCTGTGGCTGCATCAACTTGACACCACTGTCCATGGGCCAGCTGTCCTTACCTCCTTGTTGGCCTTTTGGTAGCTCGCAATTTTCTCCAGCACCGTGGTGCCGTCAGTGTCCACCAGCTGCACACGCGCTGTGCTTGGGTCAGCTCTGACTCTGTCGCTTAACTTTATTAAGGCGCCATAGTCCAACCTCTGGTGTCAAAGTCCAAACTCTGGTGTAACAAAGTTGAGGCTCTGACACTCCCCAAACCAAACCGTCCCTCATTCTTAAAAAGCATCACACTCTTGCCCCGTAGCACATCTCAATCAATGCTACAAAGTGACCGAGCTAGCAAGGTGAGACGACGCTGCAGAGGAACTTTCCAACAACGTCTGAAACCTTTACCAAAGAAAGACGCTAGAAATCGTCGAATCACCAGCTTGTCCTGCGCTGGGGGGAACAAGAGCCATTACACGAGACAGCTATGCGTCCTCTTATGTGGATCACGAAGGCGTACGAAAGCTCACCAGCTTGTCCAGCGTGTAGGACGCGTTGTAGGTACGGAACACCTTGGCAGTAAGGCCGGGCATCAGCCCCTTGAGGTGCGTGTTCACCTTGGTCGTGTTCAGGGTGTCGAACAGGTCGTCGTCGAACTTTTTGCCTGGATGAGAACGTTTGTGAATGCGTCCGTCACTCCTCTGTCCTCGTTTAGAGAGCTTTTGTAAAAAGTGCTATTACATGCAACTGTGTTCTTATACGCTTGGCAACAGCGGGCAGCGCTTCGGCTGCCTCGATCTGATGAGCAAGCCCAATTTCGTGTTGCTGAGTTAGATACATCGGCGTTAAGCGAAAACTGAGTCGGAAGGCTGCAACATTGCAAATGATTCTCCCAAGCAACCAATTCTTGGAGGCACTTAGCCGGCCTTCCAAGCACAGGTTTCAAAGATTCAATTGTGCGCCTTCTGAAGAGCGAGTTCCGTGCTTGGCGGAACCCACTCCTTCGGAGAGAAAAGTTTGGTTCTTGTGGGCACGTTGTGGCCAAGCGTACATCTCTGCAGCACAAGCCAATCAAAAAACACCTAGCTGGTCGGTGACAGCTGGCGCCCGCACTCAAGCAGGGAGCACTTGCCTTTCTTGAATGAGCCGATGGCCTCGTAGACCAAGTGGTTCACTTGCACCGTGTTGAAGTACCGAATCGAGTCCTTCCCCAGGAAGTCGAACTGCGAGCAGGAAAACCAAATAATTTTTCTATCCCTCAGATGGAGAGCTGAGCCACAATCTGGAACTGCTTTCGACAACATTCTTCTGATGCTTGTTTCCTTCCCCCTGCAAAAAGCCTGTCACGCCGGAACGGGGTATACTGATAGACTGGAGTTGGTCTTGCATTTTCGATCATTCTCTGGTTGTCAGAATTTGCAGCCAGAAGGTAAGAACGGCCTTCTCGCCATGAATTCAACGGCCCTTGACTTTGAACAGATGCAAAGGTGGAGAGCAGAACGCTGGCGGATCGTACCTCGAGCGATGTGGGAGGAATCTGCTTCACATGCTGGATCTTGAGCGAGCAGCAGCCCACAGTGTCGGCCTCGTCTTCGTCCTGGAATCGAGACAAACGGCATTGAGAATTGCACATTGTCTAAAAGAGCATATCTTCCTCCTAGGAGTTGGAGTCAGTATGATGATCTGGAATAAGTGTAATAATATATGCTTCTTCGCCTTCCTTCTGAGAGTTGGACTTAGTATGATGATATCCGCTTCTTCACCAAAAGGTAATTCTTTGAGTCATGTATGGTCTTGTTCGCTTCTCTGGCAACCGAGTGTTGGTCGTTGTGGTCGCAAGCAAGCCGATCTCGCCCGCTTTTTCACAGCGGGCGTATCTGCTCCCCGCTTTCTCACAGCAGGTGTCCGAACGATACATGCAAACTAGAAGGTCCCCAAGATCGACGCTCAAGAAGGAAAAATACTCCAGCGGAAGAGATAACGGAAAGTAACCATTGTCCGAACCTGCTCGCCTTTCAAATGCGTGTCGGACACTTGTTCAAAACCAGACACCGCAAGTAGCAAGATGACACCGACCAATGGTGCCGCAGCCGCTCACTTTTTCGTTTCCTGCTCTCAGGGCGAGAACGTCGATCAGGTAGACCGCCACGGCAATCTGCTTGTTCTCGGTGTTCTTGGAAGTGAGGTCGCGGTTGTACTGGTCCCGGATAGCCCCGATGTAATCCTGCAGCGTACAAATGGGTATCAGCGACTTTCAGGAATCTGAACACGCTTTGCAAACTTGCAAGCAGCTCTCCGAATTGCATTCACGAGTGCTTCCGACGGTTTAGTTGCGACTCGAAACGGCTGCGTACGCACTGTTTGGTAATAAGCTCCGGGTGATGCTTCTGGCTAATGAAGAGCCTTTCTGCAGCACATGGTTGGAACAAGCAAACCACACTTCCTTACGAATGAGGCACAGAGGAGGGCCGGTTGGATCATTCCTTCCAAGCAGCACAGAAGGATCATCAACCTTCCTTCCAGCCAGCACATAAGAATACAGGATTATCATCAACGTCGAATGATAACATCGAGCATGCATGCACGTGTCAGCCTGAAACAGAGCGTTCCACAGATCCCTCAGCAAGCCAACCATCAGCAAGCCGATTCAATACGAAGGTGCGAGTCAGAGAGCAAATGCAACAACCGCTGCGTTGCCTGCAGTGCAGACGCGCTGCGGGCTTAGTGTCTTTTCTTTTTGATTATTGATCGGGCCAGCTCACCTTGAGCTTGCGCGCCTTCTCGTACTTCTCCATGTCGCTCTGCCCCTTCCAGCTGCTGCTTGGTGCCAAGAACACGTACTTGAAGTCCTTGGGGCTGATGGGGTCGTGCCAGAACGCCAGCCACGTCACTGTGGGGTCGTGCCGGATCTCGCCCCACCTGAGAGAGAAGATGTAGTGTTTACTTCCGTTCGCAGTTCTGCTTGTGATTTGGCTGACCAAGAGACATGGCAAACAGGAGCCTTGGCACAAAAACGCCCTCGACCTCGGGGGAAAAAGGAGAAATTGTGCTCTGGTTTTCACCGCTTCAAGACGGGCTCCAGGTTTCAAGTTTGTCGATACCCAAAATCGGAAGTGCTAAGACCTCGAGGAGGGTTGCCTAGAACAGTCTGCTCCGCTGCTCATGGAGGGAAGATTGACAGATGCGATACGGGCAGAAGAGATGGATGCGAAATATTCCAGCCATGCAGCGAGATAAGAACTGAAGTAGCACAAAGATCGATTTAGACGGGCATGAGCAGTCTTGTTGCCAGTTTGCAGTGACAGAAGCAGTCCAACGGCAGAGGAGTGACTTGAGAATCTCCTGTTTGGTCGACTGGCTCTAACAGACATATTGTGTCAAATATGGGGGTGGAATGCTGAGCGCCTCACTTGTGCCCTGGAACTGGACACTCCGGGATGGGCGCGTCCTTCCCGATGTTGAGGGTGATGTCCTCAGGCACTATCCTTTTCTTAACCTTGCCCATCTGAATGCACACCAGAGCTGGGTTAGCCTGTGTAATCCTGCATAACCCTCCTCTTAACCCCTGATTAGACCTGTGCAAAGCTTTTCTTAACCTTGCCCATCTGAACGCACACCAAGACTGGGTCAGCCTGTGTCAACTAGTGTGCGCGCATACTGCTGCAAGCTCTGGCACACAGAACTTGCCATTGCATCCCAAGCAAAAATGTTGCATGCAGCGTGAAGCTGCTGTTTACAAGTGTGCGGAGTTTTGAAACGTGCATGCTTCTGGTGGCTGATAGGAAAGAAGTGATGTACAACGGGACGGAGTGCAAACTCCCACCTTTGGATGCTCCCCCCGGCCCCGGAAAAGACCTGGGGGCTCCACCCTGAAGTTTCCCACCTGCAAAGAAGCCAGGCAGTGAGATCATTGAACTGCACAAGTGATTTACACAACCAGACTTGCTACTTAAAGCAAACAAGCAGAGACGGAGTCATGCACGGATAAGGAAAGGTATACTAGAGAAGGATGTTGTGCTGATGAAAGCAACAGCCAGAAGGTGCTCGGCAGGGCCACCGGGCAATCCAAGGTTGCAGATATCATTGATACTCTGAGAGCAAGAGACAGTGCATATACCTGCTCCTTTACCCCATCGACTAGCGCAAACATGTACTTCTCCTCGGCTTTCAGCTTCTCCTCCTTCAACCGCTTCTTCTCCTGCATGCCAAAAGACCAGCTTTAAGATTCAATTCAGTTGCATCCATTGATTCCCCTTACCGCCCTACTTTGCATTAACCAATTCCTTTAGTAGTTGGCAGGGGCTTGGCTAAGGATACACATGCACGCATGTAACAGCCATAGCAGGGTCCTCTAAGCAGAGTCTATTTTGTGTTTACAAAAGTAGAGAAGTTGCGAATGCAGAAAGTGTGAAGAGGAACTCAGAAGCAAAGAATCCCCACCTCGGACGTCATGCTCTTCTTCCTCTCCTTCTCCTGAAGGTGCCACTCATAGATAGGCGTGAAGTCGCACGGACCGAGCTTCTGAATGACGTGCTTCTTTCCCAGCAGCTTCGACCAGTCGTGCCAGAAGTTGGTGACGAACGTCTTCTTCTGGGCCCAGTCAGTGTCCTTCATCACCGCAAAGAAGGTCGCCACCTGCAGACAAGCGCCATGTATGAGGCTCAGTGACGCCTAGTATCCTTCTTGACCTCAGGAATTTATGCAACACTCAAACGCAGTCGGTATATGACAGCTTGCACAAAGAGTTCAATTGTGCTGCAAAATGGCAATCGAAACCGAGCTAAGCAGTGTGCATGCAGCCAGACAAGGAAGAACAAGCAGGAGGCGATTCAAGGCAAAAGCGGTCCGCTTTTCCCAGTGCCTCAGCTTTTCTTTGCCATGCACCACCACCCTGCCCGCCTCTTAAGCCAGGTTGCTCAAAGGCCAACTAGTCAATGCACAGCAGAGGGTAGTGATCGCGCATGACATGCCAGCGGTTGTTTGGACGACTCTCAAATAAGAGTTGACTCCTGCAAGGCAGTGTGTTGATGATAAGAGTGCATACCTCCTCCTGCTCCGGTGTCAACTGGACAGGCTTCCCATCGTACAGCATCTTCACCCCATGTGGCTGGTATGGTGGCGGGAAAATGACCCCGTTGTGCTCCAAAGTGGTCCACTTCACGGTCCCGTTCTCGTCTCCATCCTTGGGTGCTTTCTTCCTCTCTGGCGCCTTCGCCTTCGCTGGCGCCTCCTTCTTAACCGGCTTCTTCACCTGCTCCACCTTGACCTTCTTCTTCCCCTCTACCTTTGCACTCGTCTTCTTCACAGAGGCTTTCACAGCGGACAGTGGCCGATCATCGTCCTCATCGCTGCTGCTGGCTCTTGGCTCCGGCTTCGCCTTCTTTGACGGCGGCGCCTGCGTCTTCTGCGCGTCTGCAGGCCGCTTCTTCACCACGTTCTTCTCTCCCCCTAGTTGTTTCTCCTTGGCTGGCAGGGCAGGTTTCTTCTGGACTGCTATTGGAGAGGGCTTGTGCTCTGCCTCCTGGAGAATCTCCCGCCGTTGCACCAGAGGCACGTCGTCGTCGCTGTCCGATTCCTCCTTCGACGCGGAAACTCCAGTCACCCCCGATTGTGCGGATACATGGCCGCCGGAGGCTATTTGAGGCACATTCTGTACGGGTGGTTTCAGCAACTGAGGTGATGCGGGGGTGTGCCTCTTAAAGACCAGGGGTGCGTCGTCATCGTCTGAGTCGTAGTGCCCGTTCGAAGGAGCTGGAGCACCATTTGGCACGGCGTCCACTTCCATCGGAGACAGTCCTGCTGGAGGAAAAGAGGTGTCATTCAAGTTAGCTTTCCGACAAGCTCCGCCTTCATAGGAAGATCCTGGACGCAGGATGCTGCAAAGGTCCACTCAACCAAGGATATATGAGCAAAGCCGCAAATGCAAACAAGCAAGCGGCCAGCTTGACCCACAACCTGCGCCAAATCTCACATGACAGATTCTCCAATATATATTCATTGTCCCATCACCCCTGGCCTTCATTGATGGAACTGTATTAAGAATGGAAAACGACGGATTATGCGGCAACCTAGCTCCAGCAAAGCGGCAGTTTCGGTGGCTGTATCTAATGCACTCGCTTAAAAAAACCCTTCTTTGTGTTCCAAAGAACATCCTTCCTCACAAAAGCGCGCATTTGTGCTTAAAAAAGACCAGCTTCGAGCGACGAAGCAATGGCCAGGAAACTACATTGTGCTCTTCCTTTAGAGGTTTCTGATGAGCCTGTACAATGACAGCGAACAATGAAAGAGCATTGAAGCTCCACAAGGCAGCAAAACGGGCTTTTACCTGGAACTACACCCGCCATCAAGGGTTGAGCTCCTTTCCAAAGGTTACCCCAAATGCGAGCCGCAGCTGCTGATTGATTTCTTCCGCAACTTCTCACTCTCTCGCAGCTTCTCACTCTCTAGCACTCAATGGGCTGATAGTCCCTTCTTCTTCGCCTCTAGATATCTTCCTGAACGTTTGACAAGGCTTGTGTAGCCCCAGCACTGGCAGGAGAAGATGCCCCACGTTTAATGTCGACAGCTGGGCTCACCATGGCAGCTGGTCAAACGGCAGCGCCAGAGACTGGGCAGAGACGAAGTCCAAGACCGAGTCCCTAGCTCAGCCCTGGCTCATGCAGCCTCAAGTGCAACCTCAGGCTCAGACTCAGAGTCAGAGTCTGCCAATCCCGTATCTAGACCGGACAGAATTCAATCACCTTCGTCGGTGGATCTTAGAAGTGCAGGCTCAAGTTTCCTAGTTTAGAAGAACTCTCTGATGACAAAGTGTCGATTGGTCAAAACGAGTTGCCGTGCCTACAGTAGTAGCAAAGTTCAGAAGTTGGAAAACTCTGGTGCCAATGCCAATGGGATCATGCTACCTACCTTATGTAGATCTATACTCTGATCGGATCAGGGGACAAAGGTCCAACTTCAAACAGACTGCAACTTCCTGATCAGAACTTTGCACGTTGAAAGGCCCAAGTTGGGGCACCAAGCTGTCCTAAGAGCACAGTAGCTCCTCCATGCAAAGCTTTTGGTGATTCTCCACAACTCAAATCAGGTGGAGCAGATTAGCCTGCCATGAAGGACCGCACGGAGCACTTCCGGGATATTGTGCGGCGATTAGTGGCAGAGGAGGTCATAAATGAAGTAAGTTACTTTATCCTGCTTCACTCTCTGCTCTCGAACTTTCTTTGAAAGTAAGCACGCAGCATTAGTGACCGCAAATGGAATCGGGTTCTGACTTTTTGTGTGCGCATTCCCTTCTTGAGTTGAAGGTTTTTTGGGGTCATTGTAGGCAAAGAGTACTGATTTGAGGTCCCCTCTAGGTGGTGGCGACGATGGATGACTAGCCTGCCACAGAGGCCCTTGAACCTGAGTGGCACCCATATCAGAAGGAGAATGATAACAAGCCCGCAATTGGCACCAATCGGTATTCACAGACTGTGGTCACTTGAGCAGGAGAAAGAATGCCATGGGAAAAGAGGCTTCTTGTGGGAAAAGGCATGTCTAGTTGTTCAAATGTCCCTTGTTCACTTTGTTGTCAGTATCTGAGTTTTTAAAACAGTGGAAGCCATAAGCTTCTTTAAGGGCTCGAGCTTCTAACGCCCAATGCTCTTTCAGGAGAAAAAGAGGAGAATCTACTCCAGCTTGATACTCAAAAGGGCACAAGTGCACACACCATTCATCACCACCGCCAATGAGATTGTAAGTCTTGTTACCCTCTCCGTGCGAAGAAGCACCCAAGTTGTTGTAATGTGGTCTGTTGCTTAACAGAGCAACTGAACAAAAGTAGCTGTACTTTCAACCCTTGTCTTCATAGTCTTGATGAGTGTTGTGCTATGTAGGATTGCAACTCTTTTGACAACATGGAAACGTGTTCCGCCCTTGTTCCGTTAGGCCATAACAAGAGCTGTCTTTCTCGTACCCCTGGTCCAGTTTGATTCTGGCAATAGTCACGGTGGATATGTAGGACGAGAATATTCTGACGTCTATCAAAATCATTTGAGTAATGAACCACTCATCTTTGTATCTGATAGCGCACTCCAGATCAGCCGATGTACACCATTGGCAATGCTGCCGAAGAGCGGACTTCACTTCAAAAAGCCCCCTCACCCTCCCGTTTTGACGCGCCGTGCAGCGCGCGAACATCCGTGCCATGCGCGCCTTCATTCTGCAGCACCGGCAGGACTACTTGCGCAAGGGGCGCATGACCGAGCGCGAGCGAGACGACCTGGAGCAGGAGGTGGGGCTGTTTGTCAAAACCTGCCGGCAGCGGATTGACGTCCTGAAAAACGCAGTCTCTGGAGAGGCGCCAACGCAGCAGACGCTGGCCTGGATCGGAGGCGAGGGCAGGGCAGGGAACACAAACCTGGTTGCGCACTGGCACGGCGTGGTGAGTGGCCTGTTTGAACTGTGTTTCTGACGGGTCGCTTGAAGTTTTCCTCCTGTTCCGTTCTTGAAATTACGGGGAGCTTTCAGTCGAAGGTGTGACGATGGTCCTACGCTTTGAACCATGGCAGAATCGTGCTTTAGGAACAGACTTTCACCAAATGACTATGTCGAAAAACGTATCGAAGGTCTTGTTGCCTCCAACGTAGACTTGCAAAGCCGTTCGAGAATGTCCAAGAACTACCCCGCTCTCTCCGCTGGTTTTCTGCGACCTCTTCTGTAATTATCCAGATTTGCTCCAGCCTGCTCGTTCTGCTCAGTCGTCTTGCATTAGCGTTTCCGTTGATGTATCTTCAGCGACACTCATTTCTGCTTTTTGAAACACACCTTGCGCATGCGCCCAGTACTCTTGGATTGTTTTGCAAAATTCGGTTGAGATAGATGCGCTCTCTGCTCCAGGTGCTCATCCTGAGCGAGCGCTTGCACTGTGTCACTTCCATGTTCGACCGGATGCGAGCAGCCCACTTCGAGGAGATTCTCCAGGAGAGCAAGCCCGCAAAAAGAGAAGGCATCCCAACTAGAGCGCGGAAGTCTTTGCCACGGCCGGCCCCCAGCGGCCCAGGACGAGGCCACGAAGCTAACGGGGAGGCCGCCGAGCGAATGGAAGAACAGGTCCAAGAATACGACGAAACGAGAGCGCTGCAGGTGAGCAAGTGCTTCAGGACTTTGCAGTAAAGTCTGGGCCGTCCCAAATTCTGCTCTTCACCTTCGTGCACCTGCAAACGCGGAGACTTAAAACGTTCGGAAAGCTGTGGTACTCCAATTCAGAAAAGATTTGGGGTCAACAATGAGTCGAACGAGACACGTGCTGGATGGTAGAGATGCCTCTATTTGATGATCACAGTACTGTTTGACTGTACAATCGCTCATTTGATGGTCGAGATTTTGATGGTCGAGATTAACAGACGCTCGTTGGCCTGTTGTGTTCTCTCTCGATCATCAAAAGGAAGGCGCATCGGTCAAGTGCACACTTTGAGAAGCAACATCGGTCCCTTAATTGACGAACTCGTTTGCCAAGGACTTCGTATTGGTCTTACCCGTTGTGAGTCCTTCGCAGCTGGAGCTTGCGGGGCTTGCGGAGGGCGCAGCAGCCGTTGAGGGGAAGGTACTGGAGATGACGGCGCTCAGCCACCTCTTCTCAACGCGGGTTCTTCAACAGGCGCAGCAAATAGAACAGCTATATAACCAGGCCGTCGAAGCCACCACGTACATAAAGAAGGGGAACACCGAGTTGCGGAAGACAGTGGATCGGAACAGCGACGGAAGGATATTCGTCATTCTCTTTTTCGTGATCATGATACTGGCGGTCCTCTTCCTGGACTGGTATAGTCCTTAATGACGTGTGCCTTTGGAGCTACTCGAGGAATGTATTATTCTTCAGGTTCCCTTTGACTGCAGTGCTAAGTTGGGCTCCAACAATTGTTGTAGCCGCAGGCCGCGCTCAAGCGCATGTTCAATGTACACGATCGTGCAATCAAGTTTGACATGAGCCTCGGACCCTCCCAACATTGATGTAGCTAATACGTCTCGATCGCTCACAGTCGCATATATATGATCGACGCTAACTCGCATGGTTGAATTCCGCACTGCAATGATCGTGCAGTATACAAGGATACGTATCCGACCTGCGTGCATGTCGAATGCGCCATGTGATGCATTCAACTCTCATGTGCATCTATAGTCAGTGATCAAAAGCTAGGTCCGACTTACTGCATGAACGTGATCGCGTCTATTACAGCATCCGGCGGCCCCCCGGACCAGTCTCACATATACATATATACCGTCCGACTGCAGCCTCATGCATATGTCGCGCGCGGCATGTGAGCACAGTATGTGCGCGCCGCGCCCGCGCCTCGGTTTTGCATATGCAGATTCGATGCGGGAGCGTGTACGTGCGCGCTGCAGACCATGCAATCACTTACACACCCGCAGATCTTAGTTTACAAAGCTTGAAGTCAATTATACAGTTCTAGATCCGTCGATCCCTTGTAACAGCCTGAACAACCTTTGTTGCGTTCCGACAATTGTTGAAGAGCGAACGGAACGATCGGCAACGAATATTTTGTAGCTTACTAAGCTCGTCAGAAGCTGTCCCCATCAAGTTCTGGACGGGCAAAACCAAGGTAACGACAATCGTTGGCATCCTATCGTATCTTTTGAAGGCAACTCATCAAGCTGCAGGAAAAAGCGTGCGGGACGCGGCGTAAATTGCGGACGAACGTAAGCGGCGTCAGCATGACGTCTCGCCTGCTCAAACAATCACGTGCTCATTCGCGTGCCCATTTCCGATAAGGTGCAAGTGCGAGAGGTGTCCTGCTTCGAGAAACCAATCTGCTAACTGGAGTACAGAACGAAGTTACTCCTCAAATGACTGAGGATCAGTGGATTGGAAGCCGTTGGGGGATCGGACGACTTACTAGCTGCAATGTCATGGACACGCCTGACGGCATTTCGTCGTTGAACGTGCTCCGTCCTTCCTCTAAAACTGGTTCTGTGCAGTAATAAACCTGCAAGCCTGCAGGTCGATGCTCACTCAGAAGTCTGTGGACGGCTCGGAGATAGAGCGACGTACATGGTCAACCTTGGCTGTAGCGCCCTTAGCTGCTCAAGTGTCAAGAGATGCGATCAGCGTCTATACGTTAGTGGACGTTCTTCTTGCTGCTTCGAAGAACCTCAAGCAAAAATACAAAATTTGGAAAGCAGTGGCCTTGTTGATCTTTCCCAGTTGTTCGCGAGTATTCCTCTCCCTTAGCTCGCTCAACGTTCAACCCAGCGCAACTTCGAAGTGACCGGAACCTGTCTCCTAGAGCTGGGCACTGTCGATCATTTGCCGCCTAAAGGGCATACGATGACACGTGGCAGCTCGAGCGCACCTGACCGAAGGCGGTGCCACTGTTGCGCTCCTGGCTGGCGTCACTGCGGCTGTCATGACGACGCCTTCTCGTGCAATCATTGTCTTTGTTATCCTGTGTACACGTTCCGAACGGGCGCTCTTCTTCCCGTTAGCAGAAGTCATCGCTCCCATGTCGAAGACATTTCGAGTCAACTTTTGCCGAAGCAGGGGCTGCCTTGAACGAGTCTAGACAAAGGTAGTAGAGCGAGACTCTCTGAAGCTGGTTCTTGTGCTCGTTATTATGCTTCCGTCTGGGGTTCCGATTCGATCCATTCGAAGCCTTTGTCCGAAGGTCGACGGCCGGAGCTGGATGCTTCAAACTTGTCTGAAGACGTGCCTCTGCCTGCAAAAAGACCGTTTGCAAAGTGCATTAAGCACTGAACGGCAGATCTATGCGAAGTGAGCGGTCCGAAAGTCGCCTCTTTACAACGGGTCTGCTGCGCATCACTTGTCCAAGGGTCGATGACTCAGTTGCAACGGGTAAATGAACGAGAATGTAGAGGAAGAGAATAACCAACTTCGAGCGCGTAACCGACAATGCTTCAACCTAAGAAGCTCATTTAGCAGAGGGTTTTGTCACTGGTAACAGGTCCAAAAGGGAAGTGCAAAGAAAACCTGCCAGTAGAGGCAACCGCCTTTGTCTGCCCCAACGCATATATCAAAAACGTCATCAGACCCATCAAGAAAGGTTTACATCCTGAGGCGCACCTTCACGAAACGGGCGTCCGGCTGCCACTTTCGACGCTTCCGTCGAATCCTGGACCGGCCACCGCAACCCGCCTCCGTTTCAGCACCGGCCCCTCCGTTTCCACATCGTCTTCCTCCGTCATCAGTTCCGCCGGACGTGGCAGCGTTCGAACTTCGCCAACGGGCGTCCGAACTGGCAGCCGGTGTTCTTGCTCTCCTTGGAAAGAGTTGGGGGCGGGTTCCGTATCGGGTGCCAATTCCCACGGCTTCCGAACCTCTTCCTGGGGGGGTGTGAAATACTGCACCTCCCGCGCGTTCCACCAGCGCCACTTGGTGGGCCGCCGGGGATTCTTGATCGACCCGGCGGGGGGGGCGCCCATGGCGTGCTTATTCTCGAAGTAAGTTTTCCGTTGCTCAGTGATCACAGGTCTAAGGAGTACTCGTGCGCGAATGATGGAGTTTCTTCTCTTTGGTCCAGCTAATCAAACCGCCGTCACCTTTTGTGATAGGCTGGGTGCTTCGAATCCAGCAACGATGGTACCACGGCATTGGATTGCATCACAACCTGGCAGTGGCCACGTGTGTGTACGTCAGCTTTCTATCAGAAGGTGTCGGCTGCTTGATTGCTCTTAATAGGAATGAGAAGAGGGCGGTCTACTGGTGCAAGAAGCGTGTCTCGAGTTCACCTCAAACGGCCTCTATTATCCTACTCAGAAAGTAGAAAGGCGTAATGTGGAGCGCACCCATTGCAGTACATGGACGACTCGTAGGACAGGTCCCTTTGCAGATGCCGCTTTTCTTGATATTGGCGGGCCGATATTGGGTGCTTGAAGAATTCAAACTACAGTACTGACATAGGTTGCTCGGACTCTTCTTCGACCCACTCTGCATAATGCTGTCGGCCTGAGGCAATGCTGTCCCGTCAACTGCCAGGACTGCTGGCAGATTGACACGTCCACAGACTTCTCAGGCTGTAGCCTAAAGCAGGTCAGTATTCGTGCAGATGGCGCTGAGCCTAGATCTGGAAGACGTACCAAGTCTGCTGGGCGGTCACGCAAGCGAAAATTTCAACCCACCAATGCTATACAGGTCCCTTTTGTCAACAAGATCGTGATGTCCTTGGAAAGGATTTGAATGCAGAATATATATGCTGACTGCGCTGTGGCGGCCACAAGTGTCGAATTAAAGTGCAGAATATGAGAGTACAGCGGGATGAAGCGAAAGCGCCGACGTGCGAACCTCCTGAAAAGGCGGTTCTAAAGATAGGTTCGCTTTTGTGCTGCCTGAGCCGTAGATTCACGAAAATATCGGGGATCCGACGTGAGATACGCAATGATCTTGCCAGCTGGACCGTGCAGTCATTTGAAAAGGTTCAAATGCCGCCAAGCCAGGCTTCTTCTGCAGGCAGGCTATTATAGCGAACACCTTGAAAGTTGACAAGGATCGCACGCCTCTGTTCAGGTTGAAGGTGGTAAGTTTTACTGGTGGCAGAGGACTCGGAGCCGGAGAAAGAGCACCCCCATCAGTGATCACTTCCGTGCTGATTGCACAATCCTTCTTGTTCCAACTCATCAAGTTGGTGTCTTCAGGTGGTCACTTTCTTTTGACAACATGATTGGTGGTTTTGAGCAGCCATGGGTTCCTTTCTGAAAGCTGTTTGGTAGTTTTCCAGATTCTCAGAGCCCAAGTAGAGCCATTTGGCGGTAGAAGGTTTGGCGATACTTCATTGAAGTCCCATTTAGGTGCACTTTCTCTGTGAGCGTGCAATGCAGCTTTAGTCCTTGCACTTGCTACTTTGGCTAGCTCTTCATATTTGCAGAAGGTCTTAGAGGTGCGAATCAAGCCCATTCTTGTAAAGCAGAAAGCACCACTTCATATCCTTGAATGCACAATTAGTCTGGCAAGATGTTGCAAGCAGGAAAGACCTCCCCCGCGGCCCTCGCAGAGCTCAAGCAGCGGGTGCTCTGGTCCCTGAGCAAGCTTAGCGACAGGGACACTCAGCAATACGCAGTGGAAGATTTAATTGCGATTGTGGATCGGCTTACGGTCGATGCCATCCCAACGTTTCTTGCCTGTCTTTATGACACGGACCTCCAGCAGAAGAGCTTTGCAAGGAAGGAGAGCGTGCGCCTTCTCGGGATCATGGCGGCAGTGCACGGAAGGACAATTGCACCGCATCTTTCTAAGATGATTGCCAATGTGGTGAGCCATGGTTCATTTTGCAAGGTTTCTTTCAAGTTTCGTTTTTCTGCTGGTTTCTACTTTTTCCCTCCGTCCATAAGCAGCACAATGAATACGTGAAAGGTGCAAAGCAGCACGGGCCTCAGAGGCAGTGGTGATCAACAAAGTGCATTCTTTTTTTCAACGGAGTGGTGCAGTGATCCAACCCCAGAGAGTGATCTCTAGAAAGGATATAAAGAACGCATGCAGAAAGATTGAGAATCAAGAAAAGGATCAATCAGAATGGAAACGCGAGAGAATGTGATGGGTGCCAATCCCCAAGCGAGCCGTCTGATGGGGAGTGCTGACTGTCTGTCCAAGGTGAGCAGCAGCCACCTCGGCTTGCCCAAAGCTAGCATCTTTCCTTCCAGGGGTTTTCTTGTCCTGGCTTTTTACGTGAAGCCTACTGAGATGTGGTAGATAAGTTTGGCTTCCGCTTTGACATCCTAACCCAGATCTTTCCAGGTTGGATTGTGACCTGGCGGCGCTCACCAGAATGGAGATGTTGTGCGATCATGTAGGTCCAAGAGTTCTTTAGCACCTATAGGTTGCCCCTTGTTTCCCCGGCTGCAAATTAGGCTTCACCTGACCTGCTATTCATAATGCAGTGGTCTGACAGGGGGACTATCTGTCAGATTGAGTAGAGGGAGCATCGAAATGAAGTAGGCTGTTTCAAGCAGGTCTGCAAGTTATGTCTGGGCAGCCTTGCAGGCTGTCAACCCAAAAGTCCAAGGTCGGACCATGCAACCAGTGATAAAGTTGTGCAACTTGACGGCCAACCTTTTCAGTACCTGTTACGGTTCGTCGCTGTGCTCCCTAAGTGTGAGAATCGTTGGCAAGGCAACAAGCAAGAGGTACCTTCATCGATCAAGCGAAGAGACTCCTTCGTTTATGATCAAGCAGCACTGAACACCCAAAAGCGAATGGCGTACAATGCAGAGACGAGGTGCGTTCAAGTGCTAGGTGCCTGATTCGAAGGTTCTCTTTATTCCCAGGTCCAACATTTCAAGGACCAGGACTCCAAAGTGCGCGATGCATGTGCCGAGACGATGGGAGTGATTGCCGCAGAGGCGTTCCCAGCAAACGGTGCCGCAGCGGACGGGTCCAGTCCACTTAACCCCCTGGGGGCGTTCTTCCGCCCGCTCTTTGAGGCGATGAGCGAGCAGAACAGGTACTGCAGTTTGTTCCTAGCTTTACAGGTCCTTTTAGATAATGAACACAAGGATTCGCTTCCAAAACTTCGTCGGGTCGGTTGGTCAGGTCCAAGTCGGCAAGTGCAGAGCTCAAAAGACAGCCAAAAGCGCCCCTGCCTGATGAGCATAGGCTTCTGGACTGTGCTAACTGAATCTCCCTTGCTAGCCGATCGATGATTCATTGCTGTGCATTTTCAGAACCTTAATTGCCCTCAGATTAAGCAGTACCTGATCTTTCTCCTTTTTGAAACACTGGTACCACCTTTGTGAAGGAAATCTTCGTATTCTGCCCTGCAGGAACATCCAGCTGACCGCTGCCGCGAGCCTCGGTCGCGTGATCCAGTGCACCAACATCCCGCTTGCATCCAGCCTGCCGAAGCTGTGCCCCCGTGTTGTCAAGTCGCTGAGCGCCCCCAATTTTCTGGCCAAGGCGCCCCTCCTGGACTCTGTCCGTACCCTGATTGAGGTACGGCTTTGACAACTCCGTGGGTTGGAAAACCCGCAAGAAGAGTAAAAGTATGCAGGCTGGAGCATGGTTGTCTGAGCTGTCTGCTTTGCCAGGCCTTCCAAGACTTGTGTGCTTTGATTCGTTTTGATATTGTGGGAGCGTCAATCTCCTCATGGCAGAGGACTTTAGATATGAAGGTTTTGATGCCTGTATGTCTGTCCCTGCCTTCAGCATGCAAGTATCAATGCTTTGAATTTGTCACAACATGACAAACGCTTGAGAGGTTTGTACGGAGTCAGGACTTCGTTGAGAGGGGAGACGATCAGGTCTGAACTCCGAAATTCCCATTGAATTTTTGAACAAGGAAAATAGCTGATCAAATGAGTCATAATAAGCGATCGTCCCCCCACCCATTTCAGGTCACTGGCCCAGACATCGTTCCCTTCTTGCCCGTACTGCTACCCCCAACCCTGGCGGCCTTTCTCAGCCCGGATTGGATGACCCGCAAAGCTGGGGCGCACGTTGTACAGCAGGTGGCAACTAGCGTGGGCTCAGCCGCAAGCGCGCACAAGGAGACTCTTGTGGCCAAGCTGGAAAAGCACCGCTTTGACAAGGTGGGCGCCAGAATAAGTTTGGACCCAGGTTTTATTGGATGTGGGTCTCGATTGTTGACGATTGCAAAGTTTGGCCGGTTTGCATGCGGAAGACGCTCATGCACTGTTGTCCAGTCAAAGGCCATCAGACTACTCACCAGAGATTCGCACAAAATCCTTGCATTATCTGCTTCTTTATTGAGGGTGGCTCTCCGCACTAGCCAGGTTGTAACGAGCAAAAGCTCGTAGGTCTGCTGTTCTCGCACCAAGGCCTTCCTTAACCGCTCCCTTAACCCGGTGCTTATCCTTGTTAACCAGGTAAAAGCGGTTAGGGACGCCGTTAGCGACGCTCTGAATATGTGGAAGGACGTGGAGGACGCGCCGCGGCCCACGTCGTACTCGCAGTACCGACTGAAACACGGCCGACCATCGCTCGCGGCCGAGGTCTCAGGTGCGTGCTATGTGAGAGGCGGTGTCGGGATGGTTGGAAAACCAGGACACACTGTCGTAGCGCTTACTGCTAGCGGCGTACGCGCTGATTTACACATTGGTTCATGACTAGGCAATCATAATGAGGTGGCTTGAGGTTTGATGAGGCTGTTCTTCTGTGTGAGAACGAGGGCTCGGGCTAACGTGCCGAAGGCCTACAAGGTCCTTGGAGGCTCCTCGGGAAGATAAAGAGATCTCATACTACAGTAAGATCCCTGAGCAACTCTTAAAGAGTCTATTCTGCCAACAGTCCTTGAATCCGGGTTTCACGTTGACCATTTTTCCCACTGGTTATCCTGCTTATGCAGACCAAGTCGGCGAGTCCCCATCATCAGCCGACTCCCCCACCATGAGCGAGAAGGACGATCAGCCAATTGCCGCAGATATCTCTACGCCCGAGTCGGTCCCGGAAGCTCCGGAAGCCAAACCCGTCCTCACGCCCAGGACTCCAGCCCGCCCGAGCCCCTCCCCGGCGCGGCCGAAGCGGCCGCCAACAGGGACACGTGTCAAGCGGACGTCGCTCCGGGAGATGCGGCAAGCGAGCCCCGGAGGGTGGGGGGGTAGCGGGGACAAGTGGGCGGTCGAAGTGGCAGTGCCGAAAAGTGCGCGGTACAAAGAGGAGGCGGAAATTATTTCGGGGGGGTCAAATGGGGAACACTTAGAAGGGGATCAGGGGGGAGGGAATGAGCATAGGAGAAAACTGGACATGAGTTCAAGCGATGTGGGAACGAGTGGATGGGGCGAGGAGGGCCGGCTGACGCGCGAGGAAGAAAATAAACCCGAAAAGGAAGGAAGCGGAAGCGAAATCGGGGAAGTAAAGTGGGAGAAGGGCTCCGAAAGGGCGCAGGAGCAGGAAAGGGAACTAGAAGGGCGAGGTTTGCACGGGGCGAGCCGCCTGCTAGAGATCGGTGAGGGGGGCGAGTCTCCGGTCGATCCGAGTCACAACAGGAGTGCGCGCTGGATGGACAGCTCCGTCGTGCGGAGCTTTGAGACCGTGACGGGGCAGAATGGAGAGGTGGATGGCGGCGTTCCAGGTAAATAGAGCCACTGCGAGTATTGGAATCGATCAGGAGATTTGGCGTGGCGAGGTGTGCTTGGTCAGTAACACAAAGTTGATATGGACACACTAAGAAAGTGCATTTCCACCTTCCGTCGTACTTGGGTGCGCGGCCACAATTGTACCTGCCTTTACCTGGTCGTAAATGTCTCGTTTCTGGATTATCAGCAGTCCCAAAAGTGTGCGTGATATGCTGAGAGCAACTTGATAACTCCGCAGCACAGTGGAAAATTTTGGGATTGTCCCACGTTTGGCAAAGTGCAATCTTGATCGATCCGCCACGTTGCTCCTCTGCAGGCCTGCTCTCGGACAATTTCGGTGCGTTGCAAAGGGACGACTCTCACCGACCAAACGGGGCCTCTGTCGTACTCCCAAGCCCACGGGTTGCGGCCCTGGCAGGCCCGCTCGGTTACGAAGAGGCGAAGCCGTCCCCGCGAGAGCGCCGGAAATGGGGCCAGCCAGAAGTGGGACACTTGCAGAGCGGGGAACACAGCGTGCCTTTCGGGGCCGATGATCCGCAAACGGACCTCGCGTCCACTCAGCGGACGGAGTTCTCTCCCTCGGAAACGAGTCACGAAGAAAACGCAAACGCCTCGTATACGGGTCAGTTGGAAATCGCGAACGAGCCCGCGGGGTCCTCGTCTGGAGAGGGGCCCTCCAACGGGGTTGCGCAGCGGGCGGAGTTTGAACGGGGGCCTGCGGCCGCTGCTGAGGAGTTGGAAGAGCGATTAACGAAATGGGGGGGGGTGGCGCAGGGGCTGGCGAGGAGCGGCGGAGGGGGGGGGGAGTGGATCGAGGTGAAGCAGCAGCTGGCAAGGCTGGAGCAGCAGCAGGCGCAGCTGATGACCATGCTCCAGGTGGGTTCCAGTTAACCAACATTGCCCGGTTTACTTTTAACCCAAGCGGGTATCTTCTCAGTCTGGACATGACAGCTGGCTCCTACCCCTGCTGCGAAAACCTCAGTTGATGAGCGTTCGTTGGATGGAAGTGGAGCGTAGACATCAAAGAGGTGTTGCCGGCTGCCTATTTCGTGAGCTACGCCCACGAAACATTGTCAAGTTCCAAGTTTAAACTGGGGAGGCAAAACGGTGAGTATTTCCACCTTTCCTACAAGACGGTCGTAATTTCTTCAGACCTTCCTTCGCGAGGAAATTGGATGTTCACACTCAAAAAGTAAGTCCAGAGGTTGGATTTGGGATGCTCAAGTTAACTCTCTGCTTCCAGGACATGGTGACCCGGAGTCAGACCGCTCTCAACGGGGTCGAGTCTCGAGTGTCTTGGATGGAGCGTCGGCTCGACGAGGCCCTGTCCCAGCAAACGTTGTATTCCGGAGGTGGAGGCTTGGCGACGACCCCGTCGCCCCGGGCGCTCGACGGGGCCTTTGCCAGCTCGCCCATTTCCCGGCTTTCTCGTCCTCAAAACGGAGGTAAGGTCTAAAGAGGCTCAAACTAGACTATCAGGCGGTTTTTTGTTCGTCCTTTCATTGCTTGTTGTTGGCGCCTCAAGATTTTGTTCGGCAGCTGCTCCCATAGCAAAGCGTATCTCTGGAGCACCATCCAGCAGTTAATCGGCGAAACTTTCGTCCCGGAACGGAACAAAGCCCTCAAGAGATCGGGTCTCTCAAACGCTAAGCATCACTGCTATCACTGCTACTGTAGCCCACTTCAGTTACAACCTGCAAAAGTATTTGCCACTGTGCAAAGTAACCCTCGCCTATTTGCTCCAGGCGTGCGGCGATGGAGCGGCACCCAGTACTCGAACCCTGTCGCTGACCCCCCTGCCACGGAGCACCCGTTTTCCTTCCGGCCAAGCCCCCTCCGAGAACAGCTAACGAGAAAAAGCCAGGACGAGCCTTCGCCCAGTCCTTCAACTCTCCCGCTTGCACAGAGACCCCTCTCCGCCCGCTCCGGGCCCGACTTTGCTGACATCAGCGCAAGCCCGTCCGCCCACTACGCTAACGTCAGCAACGGGCTCCCCAGAGAGTACGCCGCCGTAAGCGCGGGGCCGCCTTTGCAGTACGCTGACGTTAGCGGAGGACGTTACAATCACGGCGACGGCGCGAGTCGAAGATTTGCGGGGGAAACGACGGACGCCGGGGGATCCCCCGCCGAGCGGGGGAGTCCGTTGGTGTCGCGGAGGGTCAGCGGGGTCGGGGCGGAGGCCGCAGCCCACGGGGCCAAGGCGTGGAGCGCCGCGCAAGAGTGGCTGCGGCACGGCAAGGTGGAAGAAGCGTACATGGAGGTGCTGAGCCTGGGGGACGAGCTACAGGTAAGCTTTGTGGTTGTTTTGGGATTTCGGGTGCGAGGTCCTCCAATCCGACCGCTCTTTGGAACGTTTGCAATTTGGCAATCCGAGTTGCAGGGGACGAGCTGCGTGCGATTTGTCAGCGGTTGCGTAGAAGTCGAGTCAGCGGGGCAGCTCTGCTCGTGAATCAAAATGGCGAAGCTTCAACTGAGTTTAGACATTTGCTCTTTGTCCTGACATCATATACCTTGCGAAGCCTGTTCGGCCCTGAAACGCTCAGAAGTCACCCCAGAACTAACGACCACGTCAGTGCCTTCGAAAACTCCTCGCTTCTCAATCGCAATCTTCCAATTGGAGCCACACTCTTATTTCTACCGCAAAAAGACAAAGCCTTTTGATTTTCTGCACCTCCTCCGCTTTTACATCCCTGGCGCTGTCCCGCATGCAAATATCACCCATAACAAACCGTGCTGTTTCTGCAGCTCATCCGCCTGCTGGGGCGGACTGGACCGGTCCTCTTTCAACTTACCCCCCCCACCGCGGCCGAGGTCATCTCCATCTTGGCGGTTCTGCTGAAGCAGGAGAGCTTTCTTGACGTCATCTTGCCGTGGATGCACCAGCTGGCGGACCCCGCAAACGACGCCCTGCTGCCACGTGGCCTCCAAAGAGAGGTCGTGTGGGCGCTCCAAGTCGTGGCTGCGCAGCCCACACTGAGCGGCAGCGAGGCGGCCAAGCTCGTGACGACGCTGTGTGCGTTGTGGGCGCCCGCGTTTGTTGAGTGACAACACCGAAGGAGTCGCCCACAAGGTAGATCGCAGAAGAACTGCCGTCGTTAATGGTGCCTCGAAGCTTCGGACGACCATGAAAGCGCATGCTTGGAAGATGAGTTGGAGAGTCCTGGTTCTGTGTTGTCCGTCGAATATTAACAAGAGTTGCCCCTGCGCCCTACTTTCCACTAACATCCGCCTCGATCCTGAGATCAGTGTTGAGAGATTGAGACCGCCCGTCTTAAGTCAAGATTAACCACCGCCCCTTCAAGTAGTTCGCAACGTCCACCAGATGAACGCGTTATGCTAGTAGCGCAGACTCGATCGGCTCTGCAACAAGTTTCATGATCTTGAGAGAAGGTGTAACGACCTGCAACAAGAAAGACGTCAAAAGGTTGCAGGCGGAAGGCTGTGCACAGCAGCTAACGATTGTATAGAGCAGGACCTGAACAAGTATCAGAACTAACCTACCCCTGACCGCGTTAAGAAGACTTTGACTAGGATTACTACAACACTAACCGGTAAGAAGTATCAGCATCCGAAAATAGGGACGCAGACGCTCACGAGTTGATTTTATCCCACCCGAGTTGAGTAGGTATTGCCCGGCACCAAACAGATCACGTTATCTATACTATAGCTGACAGGAAAAGTTTGTGCCCCTTCAATTCTTCTATCCTGGGCCAGTGTGCGTAGGTGGCCCTCCTGGGCGATGGCATTTTCAGTCTTCATGCAGGATTTGTTTGCCAACCGCCTAAAACGTAGTGCTTACGCCAGCGGCACATGCTCACATCTATCAGTGCACAGTGAGATGGCCCGGCCGGTGTGCAGAGCTACAGAAGCCCACGTGTAGGGTAATGTGTGGAAATCGCTGTGCGGTGACTGTATCATAATTGCCAGCCGTGATAGCGGCCGGCCGCTTCAGTACGTACACCTATAGCTGGCGTGTGAAATCAGCATGGCGCTGCGCACATGCGTGCCAGCCATATGGCACATGTGCTTAAAAGGGGCGTACCCCTACAAAACCCCCTTTCACCCGCTATTCCACGGACAAGGTGGTGCCCGGGGAATGTCGGCGTAGCATAGTGGTAGCGCGCGCGGTTCCAAATGCCTCAAGTTGCAAGTTCGATTCTCGCAAAAATGTTTCCTTTTTGGGTCACCCGCAGAGCGGCGCACATATAATCACAGCGTATTCTTTCAAGGCGAGGCAGTTTCGGTCCAAACCTGTTCGGTAGTGACTCTCAGTGGAGACAGAATAGTTGTAGGACGCGGAGATCCAGGCGCTGCGCGGCGTAGGTCATACGATTTCACAGGGATTTGATAATTCCCCGTAGCTTGCACCTGGCCCCCGGTGCACTTACGGACTGCCGTACCCGGTGAACTCAGCTTTCAACCGACCACCAAGGCGGAGTCAAACTCACAGCTGCGTAGCGTACGTCGATCTTCTTTTGAGCTTTTGAGATCGACGGTCAAATCGCTGACGGATCGTCACCGACGGCTGCCGATACCACTTCAGCGTCCGGCGTTCCCCGGAACGGAACGCCCCTTTTAACCGCGCGAGATCATTCTTCTGTATTATACATATGCCAGCCTGCGTGCGGCGGCGTCATGTGTCATCATGGGTCCGATCAATTGTCATCATGTCAGTGACTCCGGTGCAATTGTAATGCGTATATATCCGATTCATGCATTGGCATTCGAGCTCGAGTCACTGACATATGCTTCCGAGTTGACTATAGTAACAGTCGTCATTGCGTTTGCGATCGCTAACTCAAATGATTGCATTGAGTTAGTAATCCATTGCGGTCTACGCCAACGCGTTATCATCTTGAAATTTACCGCGCCGATCTAACTGATACGCGTACGGGTATATACCCGTGTTCATATGTTGAATAAATACTCTGCTCAACTTGCGGCTAGTCGGACGAGTAGGGGATTAGTCAAACCTATAGTACACTATAACAGCAACTCAAGTGTCAATTGAAGCTCAGGCCCACTACTTTGCAGATCTCGTGCAGTGACCCGAAGCGACCGAACTTTAAAGCAATCGTAGGAGTCACTCAACCATTAATAGCTGTGAGTCACCTCGGCTTTGTCCGTTTTTTGGCTTCGCTGTACAGCACAACTCCTAAAAGGGTCAAAGCAAATCCGCATGTGCCTTGCAGCGTGACAGGGTTGCGGAAAATCGCGACAGATATCACAACCGCCAGAGCCGCCTTCGCATTTCCAAGCACCTGCAAAAACCCAACCACTTCTTAGGGTCTCTGAAAGCTCGTCGTTTGTTCTAAGCGCTTCTGTGGGTTTCACACTTTGGCGGATCAGTAGGAATCGTTAGAAAGTTAGAAAGTCAGTGAGGAAGGTCATCTGACCCGTTTTGCAGAATCGGATGATAATCCCTTTCCCCCCCCCGCCCCCCTCCCTTTTTTGCCTTCACGTCTTGATTTTTGAAAGCTTGCGAAGCATTCACCACTTTACTTCTTTGCCGTCGCAAAGAGACAGCGAGCACCTTTCGGAAAGTTAAGCAGCAGCAGGTGAACCCTCCAAGGTTGTGCTCTTTCTCTTACTATTCTCTCAGCAAGCAACAACGAGTGTCCCCAACAATTTTCGGACGGAACGCGGGCAAAACCGACTACAGAAGCTACACGCAGATCTTCCCACTAGCCCGTTCTGCAGCCACAACAACCGAAGCCCACATTAAACCCAAAGCCCAACCGAAAAACGCGATGCGCGCGCACCTGCAGCGTGAGGGCGCTGGTGTGCTTGGTCACGATGAAGTTCATGAGGTTGACCAGATACGCCATGGTCATGTTCCCCGCCAGGTACGCAAAGATGCGCGGCGACTCGACGCCCTTTTGCAGCGTGACCGCCAGGACGTTGCCCTCCATGAGCAGCGACGCGGGCAGGAGCGCCACGCTGGCGACAGGCGCCATGTACATGAGCAGGTTCATGCTGTTGAGCTTCTCGGAGTCGGAGGACAGCAAAATGCCCTGGGAAAAATGACGAATTGCCGTGGTTCGTACCGGGTTAAGTGAGAAGGTGGGTTATGTGAAAGCAGGTTCATGCTGTTGAGCTTCTCCGAGTCGGACAACAGCAGAACGCCCTGACGAAAAAAGACGGGTTGCCCTGGTTCGCACCGGGTTAAGTGGGAAGGTGGGTTATGCATAAGCAGGTTTATGCTGCTGGGCTTCTCGGATCGGAAGACAGCAGAATGCCCTGGGAAAGAGAGGGGGGAGACGTGTCTTTGAGCTGTCTTTAAGGGTGCACTAGACCGGATCGATGCAACTAAGTACTTCGGAGGAGGAAAGCAGGATTGTACCGAGAAAAAAGGGGGCGCTCGTCTACTTGGCACCGAATCAAGTGGAAAGGGTAGGCTACTCTGAGCAGGTTCATGCTCTTTAGCTTCTCGGAGTCGGGGGACAGCAAAATGCCCTGGAAAAGGGGGGTGGAGCAGTTCCATAGCTTTTCTGTGTATTTTCCAGAGCTGGGATTACAAATGGACTGGATCGACCACTACTCAGGAGAGTAGAGTTCTGCTCCGATTGAGTTTCTCGGCTCCAGAGGAATGCGAACTGCCCTGGAAAGACAGGACGCCATTAAGTGAACCAAAGCCGTGACTGGTGATCGACAAGATTGGACTCTTTGTGAGGGCGGCTTTTCTAAGCACGTCCACGAAGTTGAAGCAGGATGCTCGGGTGAGAGAGGGTTGTGCTTTCAGAAAGGGACTGGTAATCGACGAGAGGATTTTACTAGCAAGGGCGGTACATCTCTCAGCAGGATCGAATCAAGGCCAAAAATTGGGGGAGGTGAACTCAGAAAAATAGCAAACGCCGGCGCAATCGGAATTGCACAGAGCGGTTCTCGCATCGAGCTTCTCGAGACTAGGTGAAAGATGGATAGCTTAGGAAGAGAAGATCTCGAAGCGTCAATGCGCAAGACAACTCAGCTCAACAGAACTCAGAAAGGAAGAAAGTCGTCGGCAGGTAAAATAGCTTTTAACTTGTCGAAGGGGGAAAAGTAGAATGCGTTGGGAGTCAAAGACGGGACCAGAACGGGAAGCATCTGATACAGGCTGGTCAACAGCGAAGCGTTTCGATATAATGGACGGGTCACTGACAAAGCTCTGATCTTTCGAAAAAAACGGGGCGGCGATCTGTAACTCTACGGATCGAAGTGAACTGAAGACTCAACGGTCGAAGTAAAGCCGTTTTTAAGCTGCTGCAATCCCCTGTCCTCGAAGGCGTTCCTAAGGCAATCTCCTTATCATTTGACTTTTGAGGGTACCCAGTCTCACCTGCAGGACGCTCTTGCAAGCCCGTGCTGACGTCGAAGTCAGACACATCAAGAACCCAAAGAGGTTGAAGAGGGGCTCGCCGCCGCTTGCAATCACGATGCCCAGAACAATCGGTATGAGAGTGGCGTAGACCTGCGAAAGAAACGCCGTGTTACAAAAACCAAAAGAAATCCGCACTGAGCGTACAATTTCAGGTGCTTGATACAAACTGCTTCAAAGAGAAGCCGTTGATTCACACAGGGAAAAGGAGAAACGGAGTAAAGGACTGACAGGGATTCCAGAACTTTCGGAGGAGCCACAGCTCGCTGTAGCTCGCTGACTCGTCAAAGAGCGCCCCTCGTATCACCAATTGGCAGAAGCGACTTGCGCTAGATGTATAAGAGATCAAAGCGATGACCCTACAAGTTCGTCGTTCTGGGAAGCAAAGCTGTCTCACCGGCATGGCTTCCGTCTTCCAGGTCATGAGCACCGCAAAGAGCGCCGTGAAAAAGGGGCCTGTGGCGCCGATCGCCTGATTGAACGAGACTGGGAGGAACCGGAGCGAGACGTTTCCGGCCACCACCGAGAGGCAGAAGATGAGACTGAGGCCCGAGATTTTGAGCATCTGTGTCCTCGAGGAGAGCGGCTGGTAGGGCACGAGCTTGAGGAGCTTGATGAAGAGGAGGCTGTAGAAGGTGCACGCCAGCATGTGCAGCTGCACGGAGAAGAACGGGATCAACTAATGAATCTGACGTTTGCATCTTTTCTTCTGATCAGTGCCACATAGGAATCCTAGCCAGAACTAGTTAAAGCTAGCCAGGACAGAAGAGATGTCGCTCTGCAACGATCCCGTACAAAGTATTCTGGGAGATTGCAGGCATGAAAGAGAAAGAGGGACACACGAAAGACAGATCAGAAAACGGGGCAATGTGCTCAGAATCAAGGAGAAACCAGGCCCGCACCAATCCCTTCGATTGGTTGAGACCTTTCACGAAAGGGACATGCGTTCCTTGTATTGCTCGAGTAGGCTTCTGGAACTCGAACTTGATGGGGGCCATTGTGCAAGCTTCCCGCAGATTGCTCGCTCGCTTCGTCAACACGCGTTTCTCATTCTCAATTCCTCACAGAATGGACCTATCTTTAATCTAGTGCTGGATGCGGTGTGTATGAGGAATTTAATCTGGTGCAGGACAATCTGAAGACCAGCATCAGTAAGCTGGTGGATTCTCGCTCTCACCAGGGTCAAAAAGATGGGGTACTTGTATTTGTAGTTGCTCAGAATGGCCTTGTTGGCCAGCAACACACCGATGTTGCTCGCATACCTGAAGACAGTCCGCAGCAGAGTCACTGTCAAGATGTGCACCGAGAATGAGAACTTTCAGTATAGAGTGCAGTCTAGAAAGAAGATGAAGATCTACGCTCAAATAAGATGCAGCCTTTGAAAAAAAGGTTGCTTATTATTAGACTTGCTATACTCCAGGTCAGTATGTGACCGGATCACTCCTCCAATTACGGCTGGCTGACAACGTGAGTGGACTATCTAGAAGGCCAGTCAAAACGGAAATTCCAAAGCACTTTGCAAAAACCAGTGCAATCCCCCTGGAGAGTCCCCTTACCAACTCAGGACAATCGCAAGGGTCTTGATACTGCCTGAGAGGACAAACGAGCGGCCAGATGGTTGCCCCTCGTAAAGAGGCAACTCTTCCTCTGCCTGCTTTTGCAGTCCTCCCTTGAGCCACGTTCGCAAGTCCATGGCAGACTTTGATGCCAGCTTTGAGAGTTGCTGGCGGCTCACAGAACCTGCACGAAATTACGTGCTGGTCATCATATTCGTCATCTCCTATCATATTTTGGTTGTTGAAGACAATGTGAACTTAGCTAATATTGTCGACTGATATTGACACTTTCAACCAATCAGTTTGGTGACTGATTGAATGGTGACTGATTGAAACAGTCACCATACCGTCTTTCTGCTGATGTGCACACCACTCTGTACTTGGTGTCAACAGGGCGTCTGGATTGTGTTAGAGGTCACAATTGTCCTTGAGGTGGTGCTCAAATAGGCAGCACTGGCTTTCATCCGGAAAGACTGCTAACTTTTCAGCATAAGATGTAGGCAAATCTGAGATACAGTGACCCTCAGTTTCTTATCTGCTACAGACTAGATCATGCGGTTTTCCCCAACAAAGCTGTGTAACTAAATCTGGTCGAGGCAAGCACATATGAATGCAATCTACTAACCAGCTGAGATACTTTTGCGCATGATGATCTCAGCAGTCTGCAGCCCCACTTGGGCGGATTCCCAGTTGGACCCGCCAGGCTTCTACTTGGTAATCTCCTGCAGCTTGGTTACTGGAGTGTCATGGCCCCAACAGAATTGCAGCAGTTCTATTAATGCTGCACTACCAGACACAGTCTTTCCAGGCAGCACAAAAGGCCTGTGACTAGTCTATCTCTAACATTCAATGAGTCGTGATCTTTGAAAGGTGATTGTCTAACTACATCACAAGGCAAAGCTCCTATCAATCAATACAACCACTTCCCTCCTCTGCTCGGTGATGTGGCCGGCAGTACAGTACATCTGAGCCCTTGCATTTAAACCATGGTGAGTGCTCACAGAAGTTGGCTGTGACAAATGCGTATGTTCTGAAGCTGGAGAGGGCCTGCCGCATTGTGCAGCTAGAGATGATGCTGGGGGCGCTGGCAGGCAACCTGGATACATTAAACTTCACCCAGCCAGTGCTTGAGTGCTCTCACCATCACCAAAAGACACTGCATTGGATGGCAACTATTCGCCCTTACGCCCTTCTGTCATTGCTCTAACCTTAGTTCCAGAAGTTGCCAACGCAAACAGATCCATCTTCCCAGGGAAGCAAGCAGCTGGCGGCCAGCGCCTAATAGTAATACACGATGCATGATGGAGACAGAAGAAGGTTTCGATTGATCTCGAGGCAAAGCGCCTCACGATCCAAGCTGATACGTCTTCGTCTTATTAACAGTGAAAAACAACATGCTTTTAGAACGCGGCTGTTTTGCAGCTTTCAAAGCAAGGATCCAGGCCGGTTCTACTCACACAGCTCCTACAGAAATTCCAGAGAGCCAGATAATCGCTTTTTCGCGCATCATACGAGCATGCTGCTGTCCTCGGAGCATGAAAGATTTTCAGCTAATTTTGTGCTCAAACTTCGAAGGCACTTGACATGCTATGGGGCATTTCGCTGCACAAGGGCACTAGTGGCGGCTTCTTTTTGAGTTTCAACAGCTCCTTGGTTGCCTGACTTCTTCGGAAACCCTTTGAGCTAGTTGCAAATGAAGGCAGCTTTGTACTACTAGGAAGTCTGCACTTCTTGTCCTCTTTCCAAGCTCCAACTCGTGAGTGGGGCGCCGCCTGCGGGATTGCTTGTGTGTCATCATGGCAGACTACCACACGGTGTACAAGGATGTAGAAGGGACAACGACAGAGTGGGAAGATTTGCAAGTCAAGCATGGAAACCTTGCTCCAAAAGAGAAGCCAAAAAAGGAAGCTTGGGTGCCGGCAGATGAAGCTAGGAAAGGCACCACCGAGTGGCTGGATGGGAAAACAGAGGAAGAGCTGGAAGAGGCAGAGGACGAGGTTGACGACGACAGATTCATGGAGGATTACAGGTAAGTTGTTTGCTGGCGTCTCTGCACCACCCTGTCATCGCTTGGGGCTACTGTTGTGGTGGCAAAAAGTGCAAATGATGATTTTAGGGCCCCTTGGTAATTCTTGGACGCATTGAGCAGTCTGTTCCTGTACTCCTTTCAGGCAGCAATGTGCCTGACACCTTCAATCCCTTACACCCTGTGTAGTTCGCATGGCTCCCATTGCGGAACCACCTTTAGAAGTGGGCAAATGATGTATCCTGCTGATCTGATCTTCCCTGCAGACAGAAACGTCTGGCAGAGCTGAGAAACAAACCAGCCGCCCCAAGATATGGGGCTGTGAAGCACATAACTGGCGCCGACTACATCCGAGAGGTTTCTCAAGCGGGCCAAGATGTCTGGGTGTTAGTCCACCTTTACAAGGACCAGTGAGTGCAGTAGCCCCAAAGCGCGTCGACCTTTTCAAATATGTCAGGTTATCACTTGATGTTCATCTTGCAAATGACCTGAACAACCTGTCAAGTTGCTCTTTGCATGTTGTAGAAAGTCGTAGGTTGAAAAACTGATACACTGGCAGCTATTCAATCTTCTGATCCCACAAATCTATGCCCCTATTCCTGACTCGCAGTCCTCTCTCTCCCTCTGCTGGCTTCGGACAGTTCAGACGATTGGGTCCCGTACTGACTGGTCCTGTTGATGTGCAGCCTGAGCAGTTGCCAACTCATGGCTGACTGCTTGGAAGATCTCGCATCCAAATATCCTGGCACCAAGTTCGTCAAAATCATCTCGACAGACTGCATACCCAACTACCCCGACAGCAACTTGCCAACTTTGTTAGTGTACTTGAACGGGGCCGTCAAGAAGAACATCACTGGCCTGGCTCCATTTGGGGGGAAGCACACAACTCCAGAAGGTAAGCTGTGCACGCCATTGATATCATTGGTTCATTCTTACCTCAAGACGTAACTATTTCTGTCCGTGTTTAAAGACCTTCTCGAATCGCTCTTGCAATTCATACGTCAAAACGAAGCTAGAGGGGCGTGCCATGAACTGCGACGCTTCTGTCGACCAGGAAGGGCATTAGCCGCTTTCTGGGCCCCGCTTTGTTCTACGTGATTTTCTGGCGGCAATAGTAGACTATCGAAGCCAGTATCAACCCGCCCCAAGGCCGCGTTAAGTTTTTCACACAGTTTTTTCCCATGTTTCGCCCGTTTTGATAGTCAGAGCTCTTATTCTTGCTCGAGTAGTCTGAAATGTACAATATTGTTGCAGGTGTGGCATATGCTCTATTACAAGTAGGCCCCGTCCTACAAGAAGCCCAAGGTGGGACCACGCAAGAAGCAGTGGCCGAGCAAGTGCAGAGACGGTATCTAGAAAAGCTCATAGCGCAGCGAGAAATGGAGCACAAGAAGGGCGACACTGATTGACGGTGACATGCCTATCAATCCGAAAACTTGACGGTCTGGGGACTGTCCTAACAGAGTGGGCAATGTTTCGGGAGACTCCATTACAGCAAAGGAACACGCTACGGTGTCGAGTTCGTCAGCTTACAACAATATTGAGATTGGTCCGGTTTTCGCAATTTGCAAACTATGTGCTGGCTCTTGTCCTTAGGCAGACGAGAGCCAGCAGAATAGCTTGGGCATCCAATGGTGGACCATGCAAGAACGCAAAAGCAGGCAGATTACCGCTCACGTGATGAACGTGATCACATACGAACAGTGGCAAAAGGACATGTTCAGTCAGCTATTGACATGATCGAATGATCAACTCAAGGGAATTCGATCGTCATGATCAACTCAAGGGAATTCGATCGTCAGTCATTTGCACGTACTTAGACGGTCTTATAGAGGGGAACGCGTACATAATTGACTCAACAGCATCAATTTTAGTGAGCGGCCGCCGTGTAAGATCCAATTGGACTTTATTTGCAATGCGATTCGTAAGTATACATGGCCGCCTGCCACCGGCGCACTACGCATGGGGTATGAGCTCAAGCTAGTGCGGACTTCAACGTGCATACGGTATTATTATGCATCTGCATGCCAGGTATTTCAAAATACGGCGCGCTAGACTGTAGAATTTCTGTCCGACCAACAATCATGTTGATAAAATGCTCGATACACAAGTATGCAGGCTCGCTGAGAGACATTCAGCAATTCGAAATTCAGGTGCACCATCCAGTCGACTGACATATTCAAACAAGGCCATCGTGTTTTAAACTGTTTGGCCCCCTGGACTGCTGACGGACCCATGCAGCCAGACTGAAGGCTTCGCATTGTCAAAGACAGCTAGGATCCACAGCAGGGAGCAAAACGAATTGGATGGTTTCAAAGGTCGATGGAAACCCATCTGGCAGGGAGATTGTGCAACATGTTATTGACAACTTCCAAACATTGCTAGCTACTCGGGCCTTCGCTTTTTGTATACTCCTGTCACATCGATTATTGAACAACTGGAAAAGGACTGAATCCATATCAATGGCCATATCGGCAAAAGACCCTTACTAAGAAGGACCAGGACAGATCGCGATCGCTATGAGACGAGGGCCTTCTCGACAAGCTCCTTCAACTCGCCGCTCTGGTAAAGTTCTGCAGTCGAGGTGGAGCAATGAATGATCAAAATTGAAACTCTAATCGATGGCTAAACTGACGATAAGGAGGCAATACGATAGCATGTCGCAAAGAGACACCAAAAACAGAAGGAAGTATTAATCTTTTGTTTAGGCAGAAATTATAGGAAAAATAGCACCACGCGGTCGCTTGGCTATGGATCAGCTTTCTTCTTATAGGACCGCAAGGTCCAAGTTCTTTGATTTAGGGTCACAATCCGTGAAGGGAAAGCATAAAAGTGATGATTGAGCTGGAAAGGAACCTCGATCCCCATTCAGACAAGCAGCAAGAGCTCGGTCCACTGAGCTTCATCATCTGCAGCTTCATCATTTGAAAGTACATCCTTCACAGTTACATTCAATAAAAAGAGGCTACTGGCACCTTCTAACCTTTGGTGAAGAGAAGCCTGGATAAGATCTGGCACCAAATATGCAAACTCCTTGAAGCGACTTTGAAGCTCACCAATGGCAATGTCGCATCCCCCGATGAACTCCCCATCGATGTAGATTTGCGGGAAGGTGGGCCAGGACGAATACTCCTTCATGCCCGCTCGGAGAGTTTCGTTCTCTAAAATGTTGACGGTCTCATATGGGACTTGAACCATGTTGAGAATCTGGACACAGGTGTTCGAAAAGCCGCACTGTGGGAACTGCCGGTTGCCCTTCATGAAGAGCACGACCTTGTGCTCCTGCAGGAATTCTTCCACCGCCGTCCGGAGCTCAGGGGTGAGGACTGCCAATAGCACACGAAGAAAAGCATCAGAACAAGATGATGCAGAGGTTAAACCCTTCGTAATCTACAATCAGCCGGCAAACAGGTGCTTGACATTTGGAAGGGGGCGCAGAGAACGCACCCAAACCTGAGCAATGCCATGACATTTGGGATGTTGATTGCTGGGCAATTTCTCACACCATCTCCATTCCAAAATATCAACAATCACACAAGTCAGGCACAACCACAAAAGCTAGGCACAAGGAACATCCTGCAACCCTCAAATTTCTCCAAAGCATGTACTTCGAATTATTCTAGAGCCCGCTTAGTTGGAGTAGATTACCTGAACCCCCACCAGAACTGGCCCCTGCAGACGCACGGCATCCTGAGTGTGCAGTTCGCCTCACAGTCTGAGTTTTGCCCATGAAGGACATCTTGACTTCTCTGCAGGACGTACTCCTATGCGAAGCTGACTTGTGCGCAAGCAGATGCAGGCTGGCCAAAGCTTCACGACTCCGGCACGGCAGTGCCGCTCTGCTCCCAACGACGCTTTGCCCACGCAAGGCGTGCTTTGCAAAACAAGCCCCTGGTGTCACACCACTTCTGAGAGCAACAGCGGCGCCTGCCATAATGCTAATTGCTTGCTCGACCTTCTTCGGGCTTTATAACGTGATGTATGTATGTATGTATGTATGTATGTGGCTGTTGCAAATTACGGCGCCCTGATTCTTGAAGCTGCACAGATTCCCTGTGCTGCAAGTGAACAGGTTCAAGTTGCTTTCCAAGTTGTTTCGTCGCCTCATGTGAGATCTTGCATATGGCACAATCACCATGGTTGGTTCAACCCAGTTTAACCGCTTGCAAACCCCTTGCATGCAAAACTGCAGTCGATCGATTTGGAAGCTGCAGCTCAGGCTGACTCCTACCGGGACATTCTACTGGGGGCCGTCCAAGTGGATGGCCACACCTCGGAGGGTCCAGCCGGTCAATTTCGCACGAGTAGTTACATTTAAACAATTCCTATTTCTGCAAATTTGCGCAGCAGAGGATGACGAGCTTCTGCAAACTGCAAACTTTGATTCTGAAGACTGGTTCAAACTGTGAAGTTTGACAGTGAACAGTAAAGAGAAGAGGTGCTTTCAACAGCAAACTTGTCGTTGTCAGTAGGTACTCCTAATCGAAGGTGCAGCCTGGTTGGCCTGGTGCCTTCGATTGAGCATTTGTGATTGCGTGACAGGCTCTTTGCCTCATTTGCCTGTGAGTCGTTTCACCACCAATCACAGGGAGTATCATCAAAAGTGCGGGTGTTTTTAGAGTAATATGCGGGCTCTGAAATCTGAGGGAGCAACTCCACTGGTCAACTGAATGAACGAGGCATTGTCTCCAGGCCGTACATTTCTTTGCTAGAATCGGTTTTCGACATAACAATGGCAGAACACTGCAAGCTGCTGCCTTGATGGAATCCTCATATCGATTGACGGTGCCCGTCCTTTAGGATTGAAAGAGCTGATAAGAGCCTCCCATTGTAGCCGTCTCAGCCACAAAGTGATTCAGGGGTATTTGCGCAGAAAGTTCGTTTCAGCCCCACAGACCCCGAGGTCCTTGTGGGGATGTCTCGCAAGCGCCCCCCGGAAGACGGCGCGATCCCCGAGCCTGATGCCAAGCGGGGGCCTGTGCCAGGCGGCAGTGGCAGGCCGCCCGCGCTGGAAGGTAGTCTCCTGCTTCCTGCAGCCCCCCCAGGGACCCTCCCTACATCTAGCAGTACCCCTGCTGGAGTGATTTCCCCAGCGCGCGCTGTACCGGGGGGCCCTGCCAGCGAAATGAATACAAGGGGGGTGGCAGAGGGGGGTCCGCCA